GTACCATCCATAGATACAGTTAAAACTGAGAATCAGAGTCTTCAGGGAATTTACCAATTTAATCAGGAAGCTAACCATGCCAGCAGTATTTCAAGAAACAAATGCTTAGAGGGTCATTTCTTCTTGAAGTGTTTCTAGCAACTAAGGCTGAAAGGCAGCTGAGCATGTGGCATTAATGCTAAATTGAAAGCAGGATACAGGTTTTAAATATCTTGTGCTAAAAGATTTCACTGTCCTTGAAACTGTAAGAAAGCTTGTAGTCCTACAGTTTTACCTTCCTGAAGGAAATGCTTCATTTGTAGGACAAGGAAAAGTTTAACAGGAAACAACCCAACAAAGATCAGAAAGTTACTCTAACTGATGAAATGCTGTGCTCACGTACTGACAAGTGCTAATGCAGAAATCTGAGAATGGCAAGGCATTATGTAAATTTAGCTCTGATCAAACAAAGAAAAACAGGATTTTATTTTTCTGATCAGCTGCTACAAATAATATTTGTTACCTTTGTTTTTTCACAAAAATTTGTTATTGCAGTCTCCGTAGTTCAAAATGCATTTTTCAAACTGTAAGGTTCATTGTAAGAATTAAGATAATGTATTATTTACAGTTACAGAAGATCTAAATGATTCCCTTAGACTTTGTGTGGATATATTTGTGGATATGCGTCATTACTTCAGTTAGTGTTTCAAGGCCAGGCTGGATGTGGCTCTGAGCACCCTGGTTTGGTTGTTGGTGACCATCTTGAAACTAGATGGTCATTGTGGTCCTTTTCAACCCAAGCCATTCTATGATTCTGTGATTAGTGTTAAACACTACAGTATGCTATAAAATACTTTAAGTTAAATGAAGATATCTATATGCTATATAAAACTATCAAACCTATATTTGGAGTAGAGAGGGTAGTTCTCAGGTTGAGGAGGAAGGGATTCAGCTCTCAAGAGTATCCACACATTCACAGAGGGAAAGCAGAAGGCTATTAAGTGACTGTAGAATTGAAGCACTGGACCATTTTGAAGTTGGGTCTGTTTAGTTGCTCATAAGAAAGTTAATTTTACTTTATTTTGCTTTGGTCTAGTCTATCCACTGATCGTGTTTAATTGTTATTAATGCACTAAATATTTTATTAATGCACTTGAATTTCTTGAGTAGGACAAAAGTCCTGTGATGTCCTTCAGAAGGCCATACTGCAAACTCTGTCCTGTTCAATCCTGCCTAAGATAGCTGCTGCCCCTCACCAAACTGAGTCTTCCCAAGGCTGAGTTTGCCTTTCAACAGATCTCACTTTGAGATAGGTCCTGGAGCTCTCATTTACTGACAGGTCCTTCGCTGTGCTGCAGGCTCCAGATATACTGTGGACATGCCTGTGACCCTTCTGTTTCTTGTGTGTACTTTCAGCCTACTTGCACATTCTCTAGAGCCCTGTACATCTCTTCCCTGCCTCCGGTCTTCTGAATCAGATGCAGACAGCTGTATCCTCCATTTTTGTATCTGAAACTGCAGAGAGAGAAGGGATGTGGAGAGCTATCTGAAATGGAAATCTGTGTGCATGCCTGTGCGTGAACAGACAGATACATGGGAAGAGCTGGCGAGCTTCATGTAAAACAGTTACTTAAGAAATTTTGGTATGATGCACTAGGAGTGAGTGTTAGTAAGATACTGGAGGAAGTCCACAACCCCATTTTTTTTATTATTTTTTTTTTCCTCTGCACAGTATGCCCTGGGAGGCTCAGGTTGTTAGAAAAGCAAGGAGCCTTTATCTGAAAATACTAAGGACTGGTGATCTTACAGAAGCAGAATGAATTCACTTAGTGACTAAGAATCAGGGTCTGAGAAGTATGTTCTGCGTTTTAAATACGCCCCCAAAGAGGGGAAGAATAAACTAATGATTTAAAAGATATGAAGTATCAATGATTTGTTAATCATGATGTTTTAAAAATTCTGAATGCCGCATATGTAATTTGCATTCAGTGTCATGAAAAAAATGACAGAAAAATGCTTTGTTTCCAAAACTCTTGACTTTCTTCAAAGGTCATAAAAATTGAATGTGATGTCTAATGTGATTTATGAAATATTTGTGTGTTCTGAATGAACATTTTTGGTGTGTGGTTTGAAAATATTATAGAAGACATTCTCTGGAATACAAAGTTGTTATTCCATAGCATTGTAGGCCTTGTTCTTGTTCTTTACTATCATGTCAGTTCTTACAGTCTTCTTCAGCTGAAGGAGGTGCTGTGGGTGAATCTTCTCTGGTCTACATGAGGCGTTTTTACAAATGGCCTTCTGAAGCAGAAGGCTGAGGAGTGAGTAGGCTGTAACAGGCGAGCTGAATTCCGTTCTTTGAATGCTGTCTGAGATTTGACAACTGCTGGATATTACCGTGTGGGCAGGATCTGCTCAGACGACTCAAAATGAAAACATTAAAAATACCATGAGGCAGCCAGCTCCAATTCAGTATTAGCATATAAAATGCTAATTTAGTAGCGAAAATTTATGAAAGGAAATGTTCTTGCTAGAGACGTAAATCCCTAGGCTGTAAGACTCAAATTGATGCTAATGTGAGGCTTTGGGTAGTTGTGCCAAATGTAACCTGTTTTAAGCTGCTTGGCTGTGTACCTACAGCCAGAGTAATTTTGAGCATATGAATAATTTTGTCCTCCTGTCACAAACTTCAGCAAGTATTCTTTCAGGTACTTAATATTCTTAATGTTTGGATTATATGAGGGCTGCTCCAAAAGTAATGCCACCTATTTTATGATGTTGGCTCACAGAATCAGAGGCTGATGGTGGTGGTGTGGCAGTAGAGGTTGAACATTTCCACCGGTATTCCATTACATTTTGTTACTCTGACAGATGGCAGCAGAGGGACAGTCTGACAAAATGGCATCAATGACTGTGAGCACAGTGAGGAGCTGGGTGTTGTGTAGCAGGCAGAGGGTCACCTGCTGAGACAGATTATAAGAATGTGATATGCTGCTCTTGTTTATTGATGGGGACAATGCATAGCTAATGGTGGTGACTGTTGAAAAGGAGTGTTGTGTAGCTGAGAACGTGCTCTATCAAATAGTGAGATTGTGCTCTTTGCATCTGATGTAGTTTCTGTGGAAATAAATGGGAGGCATTACTTTTGGAGTGACCTACAAACTGATCTTTGTTACTGTGTGGTGTTAGTCTGAAACTACTAATTTCTCATTTTCAATATTTGCCCTGAAAATAAGAGGTTCCTTTTCATACGTTTCATATTACTAGATGAAGTCTGTCTGGGCATGGATGCGTGCTCTGTCTGATTTTTGATGCCTGCTTCTTTGCACTGCTGATAGTTTATCTTCGCTTGCATTATGTTTTATGTCCAAGTCTGTAACCTCCTGCTTTTAAAGAGGCTACTTCTTGATGAGAGTAGGACAAGTCAGTGGCTGAAGACTTTGGTGGCTTTACTTTGATAATAACTGAGTTTTTTAGATCTATTGAGGTGGCTATCGTCCAAAAAACACTCAAATTAATGCTTTGAGGACAGTGTCTTAATAAATTGCCCTGTCATTGTTTGCTTTGGTTACTTTTTTCCAGCTTTGACCCTGAATTTTGTCAACTTATTTTTGGCTGATGTTTGTCTTCATCAGACTTCAGAATAGTCACTGATAAAGTCCCATTTATTTTTTCCACCACTTAATATAGTTTTCCTTCTTTTAAGAATATTAAAATATTTCCCTTTGTACTCTGAGAAGCTTTTCTGAAGCAGATGGTTTGCGTGTGCATCTGCTGACAAAATTCTGAATAAATACGAACTGGAAAGTTGGATGGCTTCCCACACTTAAGACGTGATTCATGTAAAAATGGCAAATGTGCTTTAAGTGTTTGAATGGTTGACCTACTACTTCACTGCTTATCTTTTTTTTTTTTTTTTTTCTTTTTTTTCAGTCAGGTGGTTTGGGCTGATAAGAAGTTGACTGTAATATTTAATAGGCCGTGCAAATTCTGTTACCTGAGTTTTCATGTTTTGTTTAATGTTTACAGAAATCAACCTGACTGACCTTGAAACTAGTTGAAATACTGGTTTGTCAGCTGTATCACTTTTTCCCTGTCCACCCCTCGCATTACTTAGTTTGGTTATTTAATGTTGATAGTACACAAAAAATGAATAGGTGTTCATTTATATAAGGAAAGTTCGTACATTTTTCTCCATATCTCATCCCTTTGCATCTTGTACCTGGGGTCCTAGTTTTTCCTCACTACAATGTTCATGTTTATGCTAGGGGTAGGAGCTTCCAAGTCACTGTCAGAACTGAGCCCACATTAAATTGTAGAGTATACTTTTGAACTAATTGCAACCTACCTCGTCAACACTGAAGCACAGCTATAATATAGTATGCCTCTGATCTCTGCTGGTTACACAGTGGATGTGTTTTTCTATACTGCGTTCTTAGAAAACAAAAATTCTTTAATGTTCACTGTAGATTTTACAGTATGTTGTTGCAGTTTTATCAATCTTTTAATTAAACGGAATGTGAAATTAGGATACTCAGTAATAAATACATTCTTTCCTCCTTCAGTGCTTGCGTCAAGTATTTTGACCATCTAAAGCATTGCCAAACAGTAATAATGCAGAACAATTTCTTAATAACTATTGTGGCAATTACCTATACTTACATTGCAAGACTAATAGTGCATGGGTTCTTTTGTAATGCTGTATTTGCATTAGTGACTGAACTGTGTCTGCTGAATGGTGAGCTTGCTTTTTTAATAACCTTTTTTTTCTATAGGACAACTTGTCAGCTTTGTGGTGTTCTTTCAGGAAACTTCCAGCATCTTTCGTGCAGACCATACTACAATTTATTTCTAATATCTTATATAAGTTAGGTTTTAAGATTAATTGAAAATACTGGGTGGTATAATTGATGAACTCCTGGTAGCAGATTATCCTTGTACTGTTGCTGTATGTGTATTAGAGACTTACTTTGCTTTCAGATGTTTCAAGCAGGAATTGCTAAGTGTTCGTTTCTTTATAGGTTGGAAATTACAAGCGGACAGTAAAGAGAATCGATGATGGTCACAGACTTTGCAATGATCTCATGAACTGTATTCATGAACGTGCACGGATAGAGAAGGTCTATGCTCAGCAACTTACAGAATGGGCAAAGAGATGGAAACAGCTTGTGGAAAAAGGTAATACATCCTCGTTTTGAACTCTGAAACATTTCCCAAATAGAAAAAAAAAATTTGAATGTTCTTGGTAAGTTGAAAGTAGAAATGTTTAGCTTAAATGGAACCTTTGCAGATGGCTCAGTAGTGTAACAAATGAGTCTTTCAAGGATCAAGCTTTCCTTGATTAAGACAAAGCAAAGCAAACCAAAAAACAAACACAAAAGACAAAAACTTAGCTCCTTTTCTAATTTGCTTTTTTCTTATGGAAGCAGGTGAATATTGCCTCCAGTGTTGATGTATCCAAATAAATTCAGTTCTACACATTAGCTGTTTCTAGCTAAATAATGGTAGAGAACATACTGTTTGAAAAGTATGTCTGTCTAAAAAGGTGTCAGTGGTTGTTGGGGAACCAATAATAGAAAAGTAGTGTTTTAATGAAAGGCTGATCTGATAGCATTTTAGTATATTCTGAGTTAGCTTTTCTTTTCCTGGTTGTCCGTGCTTCAAAAAATATGTTGAGAAATGGAAGGCAGTTCAAACAGGAGCTAATAAGTGTAACTGGGAATTGCAGTTTAGGGAGATGCAGGCCAGACTAAATGAATATTATTTAAGTATGATTTTAACATGTTATATTCTAAAAATATCTTTATAAAAAAAAAATCCCTTTTCTAGATTTGCATAATTATCTAGGAATTCCTATTTAGAAATGAATGTAAGTCAATAGCTTCAGGTAGTCTCTTGGGAATATAGTTCCATGTGGGTGATGGTTATTGAGAATGACACTTTCTGTTGTGTTTAGGCCCACAGTATGGAACAGTAGAAAGGGCTTGGTGTGCTTTTATGTCAGAAGCTGAAAAAGTGAGTGAACTACATCTAGAAGTAAAAGGTTCACTGATGAATGAAGACTTTGAAAAAATCAAGAACTGGCAGAAGGAAGCCTTTCATAAGCAAATGATGGGAGGATTTAAGGAAACCAAAGAAGCAGAAGATGGATTTAGGAAAGCTCAGAAACCCTGGGCAAAAAAGCTGAAAGAGGTACAGCAGTAGATTATGTATTAGCTATCTTGTGTTACAATATATTAATGTCTCAAATCTCTGTAAGGGAGTAAACTCCCTATTTTCTCTGCTGGACCCTCCTTTCTCAAAAGATCTCTTGCTTTCTGTCCTCTTCTGAGAATCAGTATTTTCTTTTGGTCTCTCTTAATCTTCGTGTCTTCGCTGAAAATCTGGAAAAAGTGGAATTTAAGTTATTTCAATAACACCTGGTCCTCTGCACTGGAAAGTTACGTATTGTTCAAAGAAATGATCAGGGGAAAAGTATTTGCAAATTTTCTCCTTGTCCCACAATGTTCTTAAATAACAGGTTTGTAGAAGAAGGGGAGCAGAGGAACATGGGCACGAGGAAAACTTGTTGTACTTCAGACTTCCTGTAAACCTTTCTTGAGTCTTCACTTCTCCAAGCTTTTATAAGTGGTATTTGTTGTATGGTGAAATACGTTGATTTCAAAGTGCTGTGATAATTTCCTTACATTGATTATTGTGTAGTGTTCAATCCTTGGCCTAAATAAGAAGTGTACCAAAAAAAACCCAAACCAAACAAAAAAAAATCCATCCTGAAACAAAACCATCACAATTGTTGTATAAAGTGTCACAGATGCAGAGATTCAAATTATCTTTCTAGGTGGAAGCTGCAAAGAAAGCATATCATGCAGCCTGTAAAGAGGAGAAACTGGCTATATCTAGAGAGACAAATAGCAAAGCTGATCCAGCGTTAAATCCTGAACAACTCAAGAAATTACAAGACAAAGTGGAGAGAAGCAAACAAGATGTGCTAAAGGTATGACTAATACATACTTGTCGATATCTAAAGATTTTTTTGTCCTCCTGAATGTGCTATAGACTGCAGCACAGCTTAGTCTGTTATGGTCCTATGTCAGAATTTGGGATTTCCAACAAAGTATGTCATTGTTATGTTCTTTTGTGAAGAACAGATCGTATAACTTCTATTTTATCTGAGTGCTTTGAGTAGGGAAAGAAACAGAATATTTCAGAAACAGAATAAGAGTTATTCATATTTGGTAGTGAGGACTGAGTTATTTCATTTGAGAGAACGTGAGATAGATGCTTAAAGCGTGCTGGCATCTAAAATCGTCATCATTCCTGATTGCATAATGTGCACTTTTAAAAAATTATTATTTAAGGAAATGGAGCTGATGCAGTCTATTTAAATGAAGTAAATGTCTGACTTTTTTTCAAAAAAAAAAAAAAAAATTTCCCTTTGTGATGTTGCTGTGTGATCTGGATGGCCAACATTATCTTTGCTGGGATCTCTTAATATCTCTGAACTCCTGCTGTAAGTCGATCTAGAGTCCAAAATCGTGTTAACTGAGCTCGCTAGATGTATGGCTTATGTTCACAGGAATGTATGCAATTATACCTTTTTCTGTTTGGAACTCACAGTGAACTACGTAAACTGCTGAAGGGGGAATGCTAACACTTGGAAATTATTTGGCAAACTTTAACTAAGAGACCCTGTAAATTGAAAGACTACTTACTCTTATACTAAATGCCTTCTTTCTTTTTTATCTTTAAGATTACATTAACGTTTTTCATAATTTCTTTTAAGAAGCTGGAGAGGAGGCTTAGGCCTTTATTGGAATTGTTTGGTTATTTTGTTAGCTAACTCTCACCATGATCAAACAGGTACTGGTGGTAATGCAAAGAGAATGTGATATGGTATATTTTAGTCCAGGTCTTGCCTATTACTATACTTGTGGTCTTGTAGGACTGTAATAAAAGTATTGCTAATTGATTTCTTTTTTATTCCTTGTATCTCAGACAAAAGAAAAGTATGAAAAATCACTGAAAGAATTAGATAATGCCACTCCTCAGTACATGGAGAACATGGAGCAGGTATTTGAACAGTGTCAGCAGTTTGAGGAAAAACGCTTACGTTTCTTTCGAGAAGTGTTGCTGGAAGTTCAAAAACACCTTGACTTGTCTAATGTTGCAAGGTAAAACTGTGCAAGACCTCAAAATTAGTGCTTAATACTTTCATTAGTGCTTTTTTGCTTCTGAGCAAAAAAATAAACCATGCTTCAAGTAGGTCGGTTTAAAATCTAACTTAATTTTAATATTTAAAATAATGACTTAATTGCTCAATTTACTAAAAATGGAATACTTTTTTTTTTTTTTTTTGTCTTGTCTGGGATCTGGTTAGCATCTATCCCTAGCATTTACTAGTTATCAGAGGTACTGAACGAACTGGTAAACCTTCATTGTTGATATATGTAGATCACTCCAAAAGTAATGCCTCCTATTTATTTCCACGCAAACTGCAAGAGCTAAAAAGAGCGCAATAAAACACTGTTTGGTAGAGCAAATGCTCAGCTACAAAACACTTTCTCAATACAGTCATCACCTAGCTATGTGTTTTTGCCAGTGGTGAACAAGAGTTTGTGTGCTGTGCTCATGAAAATCTGTACCAGCAAAGGTGTACCACTGTTGCTGTCACCACTGCTGAAAGCCACCACTCACCACCACACTGTGCTCACATCTACTGTTTGGTCTCCATAAATGCTCAGCAAGCATCAGTGAAAGTCAGTGGCATTTTTTCTGCATGGAGTAATTCAATGGCTCCTCTTTGCTTCATGCACGCATGTCGAACACCATTTTGTCACACTGTCCCTCTGTTGCCATTTGTCACAAAGCAACGAAATGTAAGGGACTATTGATGGGAAGGTTCAGCCTCTATTGTTATACCATTAACATCCACCTCTGATGCCCCAAATCAACACAGAATACGAGGCATTACTTCCAGAGAAGTTCTTAGAATTTTAGAGTTTGTGTGCTGTGGTCTGGTAGGGTTTCACTAAAATCCCTCTAGCTTGTCAATGGACTCATAGTTCTGCATCACTTTTAAGACCTTGTATCTGTTGTATTAACACCTATTCATCTGGGTTCCATATTACACCATATTGATCCTTTTGTTAGAAAAGAAGGCTGTTATATTTGTAGTCAGTCTGTAGAGCAAGCATATCATGTGTGTGGTTTAGGACGGGATCAGAATCGTATCTGCAGTGTGACTTCTATTCTGTGTCATCCTTCATCGTTAAGAGTTTGACTTAAATGAAGAAGAGTTAGGCCGAAAGATGAGTAGATGCAGCAAGGTTCTTTTATATAGCACTTGATGTTTTATGTAAATAGTGTAGTTACTAAGATCACAGTATCTAAAACAGTAAAAGCTGTTAGCAGGTATAAGAAATGCACATTTTCTTGTCTTCTTAACTCATTTAACTCTGCTTCAGGTTGGAGACTTTTATTTTCATAAGGAATTATGAGTCTAATTGGATTAAGACAGGAATTTCGCAGAATTGCAGAATATCTGGAGTTGGAAGGAACCCATAAAGATCATCAAGTGCAACTCCTGGCTCCACACAGAATGCTGTGAAATTAACACTGATAATAGTTTCTACTATGTTGTAGGCAAACTTTTAAATTCAAGAAAGTTCAAGGTTGACATTTGGTGATTTAAATACATTAAGAATTAAGTACTACATTTACTGACAACTATTTAAGATACTTTACAAGAGAGTAATAATCCATCTTTCAAATAAGGATGTTATTTCACTGTTTTTTACAGGCAGTTAATGGGTCTGTCCCACAGTTTTAAAGTCTGTCTTGCAGTGTTTTTTCAATACTGTTTATATATATATGTAAATATATTTATATAATATAAATAAAATGAGTCTAGGGAATTTGCCATGTTTCTACATTTGTGCTGAATTTGAAGATAAATTTGTTTTGCAGTTACAAAAATATCTACCGTGAACTGGAACAGAACATAAAAACTGCAGATGCTGTTGAAGACTTGCGGTGGTTCAGAGCTAATCAAGGTCCAGGGATGTCAATGAATTGGCCTCAGTTTGAGGTAAGATCAGAGTATGGAAAGCCCACACTTGTTTTTGTTTTTTTTCTTTTCCAGTTTCCTTTTTGACATGTTCCTTTCTGGTGAGACTCTTAGACTCAAACAACTTCTAGCAGTTAATTTTGTTATCTTAATAGTTTTTCTTTATTTCTATTGGGTTCCCTCAGCCTCTACTTTTGGAGGTGATTATATCAAACACCTATTTAAAGAGTAGAGAGGTAAAAGCAGACTTTTTCTTTTAAAATGAAGTCATTACTGAAGTTGTTAGTATCTGATTCTCCCTTTTGGTGTCAGACTTAAATTGGAATTTCCTTGTTATTGAGTAGACAGCAATGGCTACTGAAATAGTTAAAATATTTCAAATTGATTCTGAAAATGTAGAAGTCTTTAACTAGTTATTCTGGTACCATTATATTTAAAAAAAAAAAAAAAAAGAAAAAAAAAGAAAAACCTAACAAGTCCTACCTTGCAGCAGTTATTTTATTGCTGGATTCAGTTCTGAAAGGAAAGGGAAGCTTTTGAGGAGTGTTCTGCTAACTTAGCTTACAAGAAACAAGTTCCAAATTCTGTCAGTGCAGAATCATACTAGCAGATTATCAAAAGGCTGGAATTGGAATGAATTTCTGTACAGAATCATAAGTTCAATTGAAATAATGTCTGGGCTTTCAATTAATGGAGTGGAAACTTCAGTTATTGAGTGTAAAGTAAACGTTGAATAACTTCTAATTGTAAGATTTGGGGAACAAAGCTCATATTAGTACTGCAGAATTTCTTTGCCTGAAATACTGAACTACAGTTGCTTCTGTGTGGGGAAATACCATCCATTTTCATAAACATCATAATTAATAGATGAAATTCCGTTGTTACTGTTTTTCTAATCAAGTGTTTTTTCATTTGCATGCTACAAGGATGATGTAAGTAAAAAACAAAAATCATGATCAAATGAATATGAAATGTCATTATAAAGTACAAGTGTACTTAGGTCAGTGGTCTTTATATTTTGGTAACTCTAAAATCCATATGTATTTGTAAGAGGTTAAAATAAAGAGGTACCTTTGAAAAGTTGGCCAGAAATCACTCATGGCTGGCCATGCTATTTGTAAAAACAAGTAGTAATAACATCTCACAAACTCTTCATTTTCTTCTTAATATCTCAGAGTTTATCTTTTGGATAGTAAACCATCTCCTGTATTTTTAACTTGTTTTCTGAGATGAAACTTGTCTAAGCATAGGATATTTGCTTGTGTCCTGTTTACTCTCTGTTCTCTGTTTTATATCTGTACGTGGCCTAGTTTGACTTGAAAGGTATAACTTGTTTAGGTCTCACCATGCCTGTTTATCTGCCTTCTGAAACTTCTCAGTGATTCAGAACATCAAGGAGGGGATACTTAACAAATGACATCATGAGCGCTGTCAACAGTTGTGTTGATTTGAGCTCTTTTGGTTGGCTTTTAAGGACAAAATATTTGAGTGCAATACCCTAAGGGCTCATTCACATTTTAGGGACAGAAGTTATATACAGTGACATGAAAAATGAGCTCCATTGTCGGTCAATCCTGCAGCACTTCTTGAGAAGTAAACTTGTATCTTAAAGTAGGCTGTAATGCTTCAAAAGGTAAACCTAAAATTTAATTTTAAAAAGCCAGATGTCTTGGCATTACTTGAAACAGTAAATGTTCTCAATACAACTTTTAACGAGTTGCACTGAGCAATTCCTTTGATTTCTCCAGATGTCTGGTATTTTAAGTCTTTTCAAGGTGTGCAGAATGCTAAGCAGGGAAGTACAGGTCACTTGGGGATTTGTGAGTAGCAAAGATTTGTTTGTGTTGCTAAGATAGGAACTAGAAGAGGACTATAACCAAAACACGTAGAGTAACTTGTCTTTACAATAACTATTTGTAAGGCTGTATAAATATATGCTTCATAACACAGTCTGAAAAATTAAATGTGATAATTAGCGCTCCATTACATTTCTCAATCGCTTTGTACATTCATTGATAGGAGTGGTCTGCAGATCTGAATCGCACTCTGAGCAGAAGAGAAAAGAAGAAAGCTTCTGATGGAGTGACTCTGACCGGTATTAATCAGACAGGAGATCAAGCTTCACAGCCTAACAAACATAGCAGGTATTTATTTTTTTTTCAGTTATTTTTAGTTATTTAAGATAACAGAGACATAGGATCAATGGCCAATTAAATGTTACTTGTCTGTGAGCATTCTTAAAATAGCTTCCTGCAGCTCACAAAATATTTTGGTGATTAATTCTCCATTTTACATTTGTCTCTCCACTGTGGATTATAAGAAACTGAACTGTGTAGCTGATCAGGAGGTTGGTCTGTTGCTGTTTTTCTATCTGTGGAAATGACAGTTTTTCTTTGAAATCTTAGCTTGCAAAATGCTTAGTGACTAATCTGGATGCCATTTATATGTGGCTGTTAATAACAGCTTCCTTAGAAAGTAATGTCTGTAGTTCTGGAGGAGTGTATCATATTATGAGACTGTCAGAACTTTCTTAGGTCTTATGCTACTCTTAATTGTTTTTGTTGGTGGTTCTTTTTGTTGTTTTGTGTTTGTTTTTTTTTTTTTAATGGCTGGAGAAAGGGTCTTCTAAAAAATTACTTATTGGGACACGAATGAGTGTTTTTACTCTTAAACAGATAGGGTCACCATAATGCTCTTTCTTTTCCAAATTAGCAGTCTTAGTGTCCAGAGTAACACAGTGCAGTCAGTACAATCAAGTTACAATCCCTTTGAAGATGAAGAAGATACTGGGAGTACTGTCAGTGAAAAGGAGGACAATAAGATCAAAAAGTTGGTGAAATGTTGTTTTAATTGTTTTTACACTTATTCTATCCAGGGTTTTCAATTTTCAGCTTCTATAACGCTATGTTAGTGGGTGCATGAAGTCTGTTTGAGAGGTTTTGTAAGCTTCACTGTAAACTAACTTGTCTCTCCTAACAGATGCCGCATCTGTTGCCTTGATCTTTGGTTTGAAACTACTGGGCCTATTGGCAGTTGCTAGCTGAACTGCTGTTGTTTTTTTCCTTCCTAAACCAGTCTTTTAAAATGTGGACGTTTTTTTTTCTAACAAGAATGCTCCTGGAGCTTTACTCCTATGTGTGTTCGTGCTGAATAAGTCTGCTTTTTTGATAGCTTTCTTTTTGTTTAGGAGCTTTTCAAAACGCTGTCTGTTGCTTCATTATGCCTACCTAAGGATATCACTGTCTTAAATGACATGCACGTACTCAGCAGTGAATTCTTCTTTAAATTATCAAGTTGTCACTCTGTTGTAATGAACCCTTTTTATTGGTGGATTGCCACGTACAAAAAGTTAAAATGTATTGTATGGGGTGCACGGAGGAATGAGAGAACGATTCTGAATGTAGTTTAAATATCTAGTTCCTCTTATGTGCTACCTTCACAGCTTTTATCTTTCTAGAGAAAGATAAAATAATCTCATAGATTTTACAGATTTCTTGTTAGAGAAATTTCTTGGAGTTGATAGGGAAGTTGTCTTTGATTTCTGTTTTTTTTTCCTTTTTCTTTTTTATTTTTTTAACTTTGAATATACTGTAAGAATGTGATTTTTTTTCTGAATAAGGTATTGCCAGCTAAAGGTAGATAAGATAAGCAGAGAGAAATTTTCAAAGCCAACCTTTACAGAGAAGTTTAAGCTTAACTAAGGAAACTGATATCTCAGAGATACTTCTAGCCTCTTCATGTAAGAGCAGAAAAAAGTAATTTAAAATCTGTTTTTAGCGTTAGCAGCTATGAAAAAAACCAAAGCTACCCTACAGATTGGTCTGATGAAGAGTCCAACAATCCCTTTTCTTCCACTGATGCAAATGGAGACACCAATCCATTTGATGAAGATGCTTCTCCTGCAATGGAGGTGAGAGTGCGTGCACTCTATGACTACGAGGGCCAAGAGCAAGATGAACTCAGCTTTAAAGCAGGTAAGTTTACAGTGTGCTCTTAAAGCACTTTATCAAAAGGAGAAATGGGGCAAATAAGGACTTTTACTCAGAGCATTTCCTTTATTTTCTGTAGTCACCTGTCTCTCTGAATGTACAACTCCACTTACAGGATCTTGTCTAACCCACACTCCTGGTAGTGCTTCTTGCTATCCCATGTTTGAAAGTACTGACTTGTAATCTGTTTGGAGTGTATTGGAATGTGTCTGTTTGGGATATTCATTTTGTGCTAAATAAAACAGGGAGCTGCAGTTGATTACTTTTTCTCCTTTTCCTAGCTGATGACAGTAACAGCTGCTGCTTTTAGCTGTGTGTAAATGCCAGCACTACAAAGATGTTATTTAAAGGAAAAGACTAGAGCTATGCATCTTAAAACAATATCTAATCAACTGATATATTTTTTTCCTGTCTAAACTGGGAGCATCCACTTTTTAAACTCTTATTTCCTACACCGCTAAGGTGTTTTTGTTGGTTTTTTTTTTTTAAGCTGGACACTTGGTCATGGATTGATAAATATTTTCTCCTTCGACACTCCTCAGCATATCTATGCACAGTAGCCCTACTGTGTTTTACTTGTTTACTTGGTTTTGTTGGCTTGCATTATATTAGGGTACACTGACTGGACATCTCCCTTCTTGAGATGTTTTATTTCCTTTGAGTCTTTTTACTTGATTGTAGGAGTTGAGAAATTTGGGCTACCAGCAGCTGTGTGCTGAGTGAGTGCCTGGGCGTCTTCCTCAGCCTTTAACAGGAGACTCCAAGTGTTTTTCATTATCTGACCAATCCAGAGGCAGCACCCTCTATTGGTGCAAGGCAAAATCTGCACCGTTTGAGCTCCGGTATCTATCTTGTCTTGCCTCAAACTGCACATGAAAAGCTTGCTAAGCAGGAGCTGCAGAATAAGATGTTTTTTTCATGGTAGATTATCAGAACTTCAGTTTGTAAAAGTGAGATTGATTAGATTGTCAGTCTACTCCTTCCACCTTTGCTTGTCGCTTGCTTCCTTCTCTAAATGACTGGCTAGCTTAGTTGTAGAAGACAAAGAGGATTCGAAGATTCAAGTGATTAAAAAAAAGTCTAAGAAAACTCTTCATTCCACTTCCCTTTCAACATTCATAAGAATTATGCTATTTCATCTGCGGTGGGTGTTGGATGTTAGAGCTGAAAGTTCTTATTTCAAATAAGACAGTGATGTAGCTTATCAGTGAACTGTTAGTATTCCATTCTGCAAATGGAGAAAGATGGTGCTCAGAGCTGCATATAGGTGGGAATGTTTTTTTTAAACAAGTCCCATAACTCTGGTGAGACTGTCTATTCACTCACTTCTCTCCTTTTTTTAATAGTAAAACTCTATACCTTTGGCTTATCTTTGTAGACAAATAATTTGGACTTTGAAAGAAGAGAAATGGGTTGGCTTTTAACTTTGTTAAATTGTGCTCTGACAGAAGAATAGTAGTAACTAAGCATCTGGAGCTTTCTCTGAAGTGCACAGAAGCTGAAACTACTCTTCATCCTGTAGATTTTAACCGTTCTTTTTTTTTTCTTGATGGGGGATGGAAATAAGTTAACCTTGAGATTTATATATTGTACCTGTCAAGTCATTCTGGCATTCCAAAGGTTTACAATAATAAAGATTTTCCATGACAGAATTATGTAATGCTTTTACACACGTAATGGTTATATATAAAGTTAAACATTCTGTACATTTAGCACCAGCTGTTAGACTAGTATTAAACTACTTGAATGAAGTGGCTCTCAGTGTGAAGCCTGTAGAATAAAAGTACGAGTATGAACAGTAAGAGGTGTATGTAGGCCTAACCTAAAAACTGCTTAATACCTTTGAAGAAAGAGCATTAAGAAAACATTATAACAGCAGATCATGATTTTATCAATCAGAAGAAAAGGATCGTGCTAGGCTACAAACCTCCCTTACAGGAGAAGAATTACAGAATGCCTGCAGTCAAACATTCAGTGTTTTAGACACAAATATTGAAGTGACTAGGTTTACACTGAAAGTACAATAGACTGGATCAGGCAGGAGCCAGTTTAGAATGTGTTCTATTCCTGTGTTCCTATGCAGACTATGCCTGGAGTCATAAGCAGCTGTCAGCAGGCGATTAATGCATGTTAGGGATCTGTTTTAATGTATGAGGATACTCTCCAGAGGAAAGTCCTTAGCTATTCAAAGAATTTGCCTACAAAGCTTTTGTGATCACTTCTAGCCACTTGCTGTAATATATAGGCTTTGTGCAGTGTCCATCAAATGTACTATTTTTCTGCAGACTTGAAACTCTCCTTTTCATTAGTGGAATACATTATACGTCAGTTGCTTTTTTGTTGTTGTTATTTTCTTTCCTGATTTTTTTTTTTTTTCTGTTGGCAAACAAATGTGGTAGGCTTCCAAAGAGGAGGAATAATTTTATCCATATTTTATGAGAGGTTTTATAGTCGTACAACTGCAGGGGACATAACCTAGCATATGCCTAGTGTTCTGCCATGGCTGAGGATAAATAGCTACAGGAAATGTAGACCAGGCAGCGTTGTCAAAATGAGCTAGTATACATGCTATCCTCCATGCATTTGTAAAGACTCTGTTATAATCTTGTGCGTATGATTGCCAGTGATAATACTTTAATAAACCTCCAACATCACTGGTTTAAAATTTTGAAAAACATCTCCATAAGTCAAGTATTTGTTCATAACCTTTCTTTTATTATCTGGTAGACTCACAAACTAGAGATCCCAGAATCACAGAATTGTAGGGCTTTGAAGGGACCTCTGGAGATCAGGTCCAACCCTTCTGCTAAAGCAGGTTCTCTACAGTAAGTTGCACAGGGAAGGTCCAGGCAGATCCTGAATGTCTCCAGAGAGGGAGACTCTACAGCCTCTCTGGGCAACCTGTTCCAGTAGTCTGTCATCCTTCCAGTAGAGAAATTCTTCCTCATGTTTGTTTGGAATTTCTGATGTTCAAGATTTTGCCTGTTGCCTTTTGTTCTGTCACTACACACCACAGAAAAGAGGCTGGCCCACCCAGTTGACTCCTGTACTTCAGATATTTATAAGCAGTGATGAGATCACCTTGCAGTCTTTTCCTGAGGGCTCCTGGGATGGCTAAGAGTCCCAGGTCTCTCAGCCATTCTTCGTACAGGAGATGATGCAGGCCCCTAAGTCATCTTTGTGCCCTTGCACCAGACTCTCTCTAGGGGATACTCAGTCTTTTTTGAACTGAGGAGCCCAGACCTGGACACAGTACAGTAGATGTAGCCTCACCAGGGCAGAGTGGAGTAGGAGAATCATCCTCCTCAACCTGCTGGCCATATTCTTTTAAATACACTCCAGAGTGCTATTGGCCTTGGTCACAAGAGCACGCTGCTGGCTCACAGCCAACTTGTTGTCCACAAGGACCTCTGAATCCTTTTACAGATAAGAGAGCGATTATAGAAGATATATTATGGTGCTTGTTCCATTTCTCAATATATACTGTCTGGGTAGTTTTTGCTCTCCTAAATGTACTGACACTTCTGTAATACTTTGTGTATTTATAAACATTAGGGATGGGTTAATATAATCCCATGCATCTGTGGAAATAGTTTGATTCAAAGAAGTTGTCTGTGTGAAAATATTTCAGATGATGTGGCCTTTTATTTCCCTGGTGGACTTTTTGCTGAGGTGGACATTCATTTGCTCGTGTATAGCATCTTGAAGTCTGCAGACTAATGCTTAACTATTTCCTGAGAATGCAGAAGATTAGAGGTGCACAATGAGGCTATTTTATAGTTCATAAATACCTGAATGGATATTCAGTGTTAGCTCTTGCTATTCAAGTTAGGAAACAAGTTCTTGGTTAACTTTTTTACACCTACAATTCTGCACCGACTCCCAACAGTGTAAAGGTAGGCGTTAAAAGAAAGATGAGGAAAGAAGAGATGCTACAGAGTAAGGTATAAGGTTCTTTTAAGTTCTCCTGCATCACAACCTAAGTAGTGGTTGTGGAAATACTGGAAAGCAGCAAGAATTACTTAAGAGAATTCTTAAGTATGTCATTTTGTAACATGTTCTTATCTTTCACCAGCTCTTAAGATAAGTATATATTGACAGTAAGCCTAATGAAATATTTATTTCATTTGTGCTGACCTTTTGTTGTGGTAGGATTAATAACCCAGTGTAGGATTATTCTGTTTGCTCAGAGGTAGTATTACTGTCCACAACTACTATCTTTGTGTGTTCATCTCATAGAATCATAGAATTACGAAGGTTGGAAAAGACCTTTAAGATTCATTTTCTAACTGTCCATTTGTCACCAGTATTGACTACTAAACCATGTCCCTCAGTACAGTGTCTAAACATTTCTTGAACACCTCCAGTGACGGTGACTCCACCTCCTCCCTGGGCAGCCTGTTCCAGTTCCTTATTGGAGAAGTATTTCCTAATGTCCAACCTGAATCTCCCCTGGCACAACTTGAGGCCATTCCCTCTAGTCCTATTGCTAGTTACATGGGAGAAAAGACTGTCTCCCACCTCATACAACCTCCCTTCGAGTAGTTATAGGCAGCGATAAGGTTACCCTTGACCCTCCTCTTCTCCAGACTGAACAGTCCCAGCTCCCTCAGCTGTTCCTGGTAAGCCTTGTGCTCCAGATCCCTCACCATCTATCTTTAGCTATATGCAAGCTTTTGATCTTCTAGTAAAATAACACCATATATAAGTTTAAAAATGGCATTCTTTAATTTTGTTTAAAATGGTATTTGCCTTTTTGAAATGCTGTTAGCGTAATGTTTTTGTTTCAAAGTAGCTCCTTTCTCACTGCTCTTCTGAAATTGTGAGGTCTTTCATCCCATGTGCAAATCAGTAAATGGCATTAGTATGGAAAGTGTGAAGAGCAGAGATTAGAGGCTTTCTGCTGGGAGCTGGTGTGGGCAAGGGAACAAGAGTGGCCATGTAAATAGGTAACTGTCATGTTAGCTTTCTATTATTGTCACTTAAAAGTTCATAGATTTTTTTAACAGTGCTGCTTTTTTTTTTTTGCAGGGGATGAGTTAACTAAAATGGAGAATGAAGATGAGCAGGGTTGGTGCAAAGGACGTCTGGACAACGGGCAAGTTGGTTTATACCCAGCAAACTATGTAGAACCAATCCAGTGACAAAGGACAAAGTTAATACAGAAGCATTACAAAAGCTCTGCAGGCCTGTACAGTATATATTTAAACCAAGAGGAAGTTGAATGATGTATAGAGTGTATATATTTTCATGAAAAGGAGAGAAAGCTCAATACTGAAATTGTGGTGATTTAAAGACAGAACATAGAACTGATTTCATGTGGTTTTCACAGCTTGTGCACAATGCAAATGAAAGGAGTTAGGTGGAAAAAATAGTGATAGGAAAAATACTTTCTAAGCTTTTTTTCTTTCCACATGGTCTGTTATTGTGACTCTTAAACATTTTTGCATTTTCTATGCTTGTGCCTCATCCTACCCGAGGTATGTGGCTTATGCTGAGTTACGTTTAATCGGTTATTTTAAGTGACCTTCAGTAACTTGCAACTTGAATTTTTAAGATTATTCTAGTTAATTTTCTATTTGTTCTTAGCAATGTCTGAAAGATGCAGTATTTTTTTATTTAAATGCTATGTAGGTAAGCATCTTTTTGTGTGCTCGATCATATAATACTTAAATTATGACATAGATTTAGTCAGCAGTTGACTGAATGAAAACTCTTTCCATGTTGTAGTAATCTTTCAATGTTGTCAGCATGACTCGAAGTTGTAAAACAGATATTATATGTAATAACTATCTGTTACAGAAGGTTATTTGTAACAGAGATATCTGCAGGTGTCATGGGTTGGGATTCTGTTATGAATGTTGTTTATATGGTTTGGCACTTAAATGAGTTTTCATTGTAGATCTTAAGTAGCTCTATATAAACAAAGAGATAAATCATACATAAGCCCCAGAATGCTATCTGTTTCCAGCACAAGTGTGCAGAAAAAAAAAAATCCTAACTGCTAATGATTTTTTTTTGTGATTTGAAATGTTAAATCTGTGAAGACTGATTTTTTTTTTTTTGAACAAAGATTGTAAAATAGACTGAAAATGCTTTTTATTAAGAGGCTATCTGTTGTGTATATGTACATACAATTTGATATTCCAAAATATAAAGAGCATGGCTATTAGTTATCAAACCTTTTGATGTGGATAAGATTTAGACTTATAAGAGTTTAAATTATAGGTATATTTAAATCTGCTTTCTTGCCATATTCATTACTGTACTATGGACAAAATATTCTGTGATTAGGTTTTCAGAAGTACAGGAAACACACTAACATACTCAAAATCTGTAATGTGGATAAATTTGTGGGTCAACATATAAACTAGCCTTAGTCCTTACATGGATTATTGTAGCAGAACACTGTAAAAACTACATTTGTTTGCAATTACAACTCGGTTGTCTGTAACAGTGCCAAATAGTTTGCATTTGTGACATTTAAAACTGGGTTGTAAATTACAACAGATTTGTGTTTAAAAAAAATAAAAATAAAAATCAAGTATCAGGTGAGTAGATATGCTACTTTAGGAATCTACACTGTAATGAAGCTAACAAATCTATTTTGAGGTAATTATTAAACACTGTTGGTAGTTTTGGATTTTATCATTTGCTTTTCAAATGTATAGATATACTTAGTCATAATGTTCAATGCATTAAAATGTGCAAGCTCTGAAAGTGGATGTATGTATGTCAAGGAAAACATAATTATTCATTCACAAAATGGTTACTAAATCTGTCAGGAATTACTGCCTTGGGTCTCTATATTGTAATATATTTTAGAAAACAATAAAATCTGTTAATCTCTTAAATGCACAGAATGCACTTCATCTTGCGATGTATGTAAAAAATACTCTCTTAAAGCAAATAGTACACCTGATTGCAATTCAAGATGACAAAGTCTGTATTATCTGGAAGTCATAAAGATGGGCATGCCAGCAGTTGCACTGTGCTGCTTAGGCATAGTGCACAACAGCTCTTAGATGCTGCAGCAAAATGTTTGTGGAAGAGGAGATTGATGTCTTCTGTGGGTACGCTAAATGTACTTACGAGAGCGCTTTCCATGGTATTGTCAAGTTTGATACAGATTGGATAAACTAAGTTTTTGTTTGTTTGTTTTATTTTGTAATATCTGAGTCTCTTCTACCTTCTGTGAGAGAGGTCTTTTCTTTTTTGGTGTTCTTTTTTGCTAACTGCTAGCAGTTAACATAGTCGTGTTTGTGATTGCTAGCCAGAAGTTTGATCATGTCTCTCACATCTATATTTTTTAATCTAAATAATCCAGTTCTTTATGCTGGGCGTCAAATTTAGTAATCATAGAATCTAAGTGGAAGCAACCACAGGAGATCTCTAGTCCAGTGGCTGATCTAACAGTCAACTCCACATTCAAACTAGGTTGCTCAAGTCTTGAGAGCTGGTCTGGAAAACTTCCAAAGGCTGTTTTCTCAGCTCTCTGTTCAAGCACTTACAATGCTTAATTATCATTATAATGATATTTTATTCCACTGGAACGGACTGCCCAGGGAGGTGGTGGAGTCACCGAGCCTGGGGGTGTTCAAGGAAAGGCTGGATGTTGTGTTGAGGGACATGGTTTAGTGGGAGCTATTGGGAATAGGTGAACGGTTGGACTGGATGATCTTTTAGGTCTTTTCCAACCTTGGTGATTCTATGATTCTATAATGGTGTTCTTTCTCCCCTGGCTTTACCTGCAGTTGGAACCCGTGTCTTGTTCTGCTGTGCTTGAGCTTGTGCTTGAGTCTGCCGGTGTCTTGGTAGCCTCCAAATTGCTGCTGCGAGGCTGCTTCTGGGACCCCAGAATCATTTCTTCTCCAGGCTGAACAAATTTTGTTTCCTCAGCTTCTCCTCACAGAGCAAGTGTTGTATCCCCCCCCCTCAATATGGTTGCCATATTGGTATGGTTGTCTTTCTGGGGAAAAAATAGTAGGCTATTTTCTTAGACAATGTGTAAAGACCAGCAATTCCTTATGTGTAGTTATACACATAAGCTATATTGACATTCTTCTTCATTTGTTGCCTTTGTTGAGACTTTGAGAACTTTAGCACGTTTTTTCCTCAGACTGCTAATTTACTTGCATCTATAATTTTATATTGTTGCCTGCAAATTTGGTGTACGTATACAGAGTGTAAAAGCAAAGATACACTCTCAATATAACCACATTGTAACTCGTAATATCTTGGTATAACAATCCAATCCATTGCTGTTATCTCTTGTTGAGATATTTGTGGAGTTGGCCTGACATGCTAAAACTCTTTTTGCCATAGCTGACCTGAATATTTTTGTTCTGTTGTCTTTCTTCCAATGAAGCCTTTATTCATAACACTTGCAAAGAAGAAAATTAAAGCAGGCTTAAGAATTGGCGAGAAGGAGAAACACTGAGTCTTGTAAGGGGAAACCACAGATCTGACATGATCTTGGCGATTAAAATTTTATATATATATATAGATATAGATATATATATAATTGTAAAACAAAGGAGAAAAGGAAGAAAACAGAAGATGATGTAAAGAAGGTTGGATGTTGAGCAGCAGTGTCTCCTGTTCTCCTAGAGTCGCATCTATTATTTTTAAAAATTAACTCTGAGGTTACATAATCATCCTGTAATCTTTCTCCCACCTTTCTGGTTTGGCAAAGTTAGTCATTTACCTCAGAATATCATACAGCTTGTTAACTGCGGTCACTTTGAAGGAATCTACAGAGCCTGCTCCTGATCTGTGAGGACGAGTTATTCCTGATAATGTAAGATACTTTCACCTACTGGTTTTGTTTGAATTATAATGTAAAAAGCAATTTCAGAGCATAAGAAAGGTCATGCAGTAATTACTGCAGTAGAAAATCACTTCAGTGTATTTGACACCTAACAGTTTGCCTGCTGACGGTAAGCATATATTGCTTTCAGCCTGCCTTACTTCCTTTCTCCTGTTAGAAATACGGATTCCTAGGGGATGTGACATCAATCCTCTAGCAAAAAGTTTCGAAAATACCGTAGAGGGTTCTTGAACCCTCCATTCAGAGAATACCTTTGTAGACCAGAGGCTCTATTGAGCGCTGTTCACATTTCAGAGAGTGTAACAACCTCTGGTTGTAGGTTGGATGAGATCTGTGCCAGTAGCACATTGTGGGTGCCTTGGGAAGAGCATAGAAATAGGACAGCATGCAACGACGCTTCAGCCACAGTATTTCAAGCTGTCAGTGATCTGTTTCTTTTGTTCTGTGAAACAAGAAAAAGTTATTTTGAACATTCCATTCATTGCTTTGTCAACAACTGTTGTTCATACAGAAGTAGACGAAGTAGGTCAGAAAAGTGATCCTGTAATTAGTTCCAGAAAGACAACCATTCTTTCTTGTAGCTAATTGTGACCCCATTAGAGAAGTGCAGACTTTTTATTTTATTTTTAATAAAAATTGTATTTTTATTTTGCATTGGACTCTGAAATTTACTTGCTGCTTTATTACCTAGTTAGTATTATACAAGATATTTCTACTGGTTTTTTGTTTGTTTGTTTGTTTGTGGTTGTTTTTTTTTTACTTCTGTAAATGTAAGTAGTTCAATAAACCACTACCTTCCTATTTACCGTTCTCACAGGTAAATATACAAATTACATGTTCAAGCATGAGTCCTCTGGGCAACACACTGGCAACCTCCCACTGTTTGTTATGGTGGTCAGTGACTAATTTGTTAAATGATCATTTCCTTATTTGATGGCAATGAATCTAGGTTTTTATGAGGGAGATTAACAAGAACGTTTTGAAAATCCAGGTTACCTTTACTTCAGCTAGGTCACCTCTCTGCATGACCCATGAAGCTTTAACTCAATCAAGTAGCAACTGTATTAATTGTGAAGTGATTGTGTATTATGATATAGATATTTCTAGGAACCTGAAGCAGAAGATGCAGAAATTTGATTGCCCTGCCAAAGATTAAATGCTATCATGCGGCCAACATAGGTAGGTTTTGCAGTGGGATGCTGCTTCTAAATGCGACTTTGCAAGTCTCTTGCATTCCTAATGCAAACAGGTTTACAGAAGCACAACTGAATATTGTCTATGCAGTGGACTTGTCTGAAAATTATATTATTGTAACTTTTTGGCTTTGTACTGGACAATGCTGTTGAGATGGACTACTTTCAAGATCAGAAAGCTCCAAGAAAACTCACCTATGTGACGAAGTGGTTATGCTTCTTGATGTTATCAGTACAAACAATACATTATTACTAAATAAAAGTATATTATTGATATGTAGAACTGGTTTCAACTGGTTTTTAATGTAGTTTAACACTGCTAAACTTCATTTCCATATTGTGGGACTAGACACTTAGATGCTTTCTGCTCCAAGGAGAAGATTGGATGGATTATGTAGTCTGGAATGATATGTGTCTGGGACCATGTCGTGTCACTGAGGATATCATTTGCAAGAGAGAGGCTGGCCTTGAATTTCTAGAGCTGCAGCTGCCACGAAGCGATGTATTATTGTTATGCACAACGCAGATGTGAGCAGTAACAAACTTTGCTCAGTGTTTCCAAGTTTCCCAAAGAAAACCAAGCATAAGTAAAGACAATGAGGCTGTCTCCAAAATACCTTGAACAAATTGGCATTCTTTCTCAAGTAGAAAGCAAATGGCAGTACAGCTTTCTGTGGATAATGGATCCAGAGAATGAATGCACATTCAGACTTGACAGTTTTTTGTTGCTGTGCTCTCTTTTGACTGGTGTAGTGTTAATATTCTTTGTAATAGCTCATACGGTGCTCTGTTTTGGATGTGTGATGAAAATAGTGTTGATAACACACTAATATTGTAATCGATACTGAGCAGTGCTCTTCTGTTTCTCACGCTGCTCTGCCAGGGAGTAGGCTGGAGTGTGCAAGGAGCTGAGAGGGGGCACAGCCAGAACTGCTGACCCGGAGTGACCAAGAGGGATATCCCCCACCACACAGCACAACAATTAAAGCTGAGGGGAAGTTCATCAGGGTTGCTGCATCAGCTTGTAGTGATATAGTTTTATATCACTTCTTTTCTTCTTTTTCTTTTGCTTCTTCCCCTCCCCCCCTCCCCCCCCCCTTTTCCCCCCCCTTTTTTTTTCTCTTGTTATACTGTCTATCTTAACCCATGACTTTTCTCACTTTTGTCCTTCCAATTCTTTCCCCTTCCTGGTGGGAGTGCAGAGTGAGTGAGCAGCTGTGTTATGCTAGCAGCCAGGGTTAAGCCACAACAGTCCAGATGAAAATCTGCTGAGGGCTGAGGACACGAGTGGTATCAGCTTTGCTCATAGTGTTGCTCTACTACTGTCTCTGCTTAAGGATTTGTACTGCACCTAACTCCAAAGTAGAGGACATTCCAGCACTCAGTTTACAGGCACCTGCAGGCACCCTTGAAGGGTAGTTTTTAAAAATATTCAAATTGCAAGAGCAGGCAGTGAATTACAAGCACTGCCTGTTCCCCAGTAGATGTAGATAGCTCAGCCCTTGCTTCTATGTCCATTTGTTGTATCACCTGTTTCCCCAAGTCTAGAGTTTGCTTTTAATATTGCCTCAGGTCACATTTACATCCCTCAAGTTCCCATGTATGTGCTAAATGCTTTTCTTGCATCTTGTGTAGAGCTCACCTGCTGGCAATCAGCTGAGCTTGCAGGCTGCAACGGGTGTGTCTAGTTTGCACACCCACTTATCTGAATGGCAGAGTATGGCCTTGGGATAGAGGCGCTGTGTGAGACAGAGACGGTACAGAGTGTGTTAATGAACACAGTCAAGGATGGAGTCTTGTGCAGTGTGTGCAAAGTGGCTCTGAATAACTAACTAGCAGGTTTTTGACATTTTGACACTAGGGCAGAGATGAACCACTTCCTGAAATAAGAGTCAGTTCTGAAATAACCAACAGCCTATGGTGTTGCCTGTGCACTCCAGTTTAGCAGGGCTGCTGTAGTGGCAGGAACTAGCTGCCTTTGAGCAGCATTGCTTGGGGAAGTGGTAGTGTGGCTGAGGAGAGTGCAGGACAGTAACAAGGACTGTCCCTTCCGGGGGCTGTGCCACATGGTTTAGTCTTCAGATTTTGTTTTTCCAACGTTGATTTTTCCACTTAGCTAGCAAGATAGTACCTCTCCTGCCTTTTTTGTTTTGTTTTGTTTTTCTTTCCCTTTCAGTACTTATGAAGCTGACATAATAAACTTTCTTAGGTGGAAATCTGTTGGCAACTTTTTCTCCCTGAGAGGCCAGCAGCTGTAGGCTGGCAATCCTCATGCAGCCCAATGGGGTTTGGCAAGCAAATCTGGAGAACATGTGCAGAATGTATGGATGCCTATGGAGGGTGAAGGCCAGGGCCTGAAGACAGATTTCCATGTAAGGTGGAGGTGGACCTTTTGGGCCCTAGATAACTTATTGATGGCCCTATTTTCAACAGGTTAGAGCAGCCACTCTGCAGAGGTCCCCAGAACCTAGACTATTATACAAAAACACGTTAGGAAAATTTGCCCTAACCCTGTTTCATGTGCGGGTAGTGTGTAGTCCTTCCACTACATGTGATGAGAGTGAGGGGAGGTTGAACAACAGTACTGAGATGCTAAGATTTGTCCCTGAAGTTGCACACTTCAGTGTGAGTGCCCAGAGGAAATGCCCATCTCCTCACGTTTATTCACAATGCTTGAAACTAACACGCCGTGTCCAGGAGTGGAAACCGTTCTGTTCACAGTGTAACAACATGTCCCACTTCTCTTTTTTCCAGACCAGCAATCGGAGCTGCTGTCGCTCTCCCACGTTTTATCTCCTCACGCAGCCGACGACCGGCCCTGCCCGCCGTTCAGCCCGGGCGCCTCCCGCCGCCAGGCGCTGACGCGGCGCGGTCGCGCGTCCCCATGGCAACCGGCGCCCCCTTGCGCCACGCCGGCGGCTGCAAGCCGCGCCCCGCCGGGCGGCCCTGTGCGCGCGCCCGCTGCGTGGCCGCTCGGCAGGAGGGGCGGAGCGTTCGGCGGCGGCGCGGCCCGGACAGCGAAGCGGGTGGCGGCGGCGGCGGCTTCGCTTGGCGACCCTCGCGCCTCTCCCCCGCCTCCCGCCATGTGCGAGCCCAGCAAGCAGGACATCGGCGCCATCTTCAAGCGGCTCCGCTCCGTGCCCACCAACAAGGTGAGGGCGCCGGGACTCGGCGCGGTAGGGGCCGCGCTCCGCCGCTGTGACACGTCGCACTGGCGGGGGGCGGGGCGGGGCGCGTGTCTCGGCGGGACTGGGCCGCGCGGGGCGGCTGTCCGGATACATGGCACGGCTGCGGCCGGGCTGCACGGCGGGGGCCCGGCGCTTTCGGTGACTGGAACGACCGGGGGGCAGCAGCGCGCCCCGAGATAGCCAAGGCATGGCGGGTGTTTCTCCATCGAACAGACACGATTTCTTCCTTGGTGACAAACGTAGGTGTTGCCTTTAGGTCAGCCAGTGAGGACTTGACCTGCGGTGTAGCGGCCGTGGTATTGCGTAGGACGTGCGGCTGTGAGAGTGTCGGGGCCGGCCGGCTCTTGTGCAGGGTACAGGCAGTGGGGCTTTGCCTGCTTCCGCAGAGCACGGAGACTAAAGAAAAGAGACAGTCGGCAGTTGAGCTAGTTTCTAAAGCGAGGAAAGATCCCCGTCCTTCAGGTCCCCCCTTTCTGCTTTCCTAGTTCCAGCTCCTGAGCCGCTTTCCTAGTTGCAGTTCCTGAGCTCCGTGCCCAAGAGATGGAGCGGTGTTGCAACGCTCCCATCACGCCGTTGCTGGAGCCACGCAGGCCCGCTGCTGCCTGTTGCCGGCAGGGCGCACAGCTCCGTGCAGAGCCCTCTGCCTTCTGCCGAGCCTGAGCGGTGGTGTCCGGGGCCGCTCAGGCGTGTCGGGCTCACCTGGCTGTGCTGCTGTGATACCTCGAAGGGATTCAGTACAGTGCTGGCAGAGTTGGACTGAGGCAACGTTTGCTCTCGTTCGGACCAGGTTTGCTTGAAAGCTGTCATTTGTGTGCAGTCGGATGACAGTAGCTCCGGTAGGTAACTCAGTTACCTACTCTGGACAGTAACTCAGGTAGGAAGGAAAGGCTTATGAGGAGCTTCAGTAACTCACATCTCACAGCTTTCCCATGCCCAGGTAGGAAGAGCTTTCTTGAGCAAAAGGTGCTGTTGCCACCAGCTCACCTCATAGAATCAGAATGGCCTGAGTTGAAAAGGACTACAGTGATCATCTAGTTTCAACGCCCCTGCTATGTGCAGGGTCGCCAACCGCCAGACCAGGCTGCCCAGAGCCACAGCTCCTCGTGTTTGACTGCATGCTGCTTTGATCTTTTCTTGTTCTGTTCTTAGTCTGCCCCTTTGTAGGGCTTTCCTGCAGCACCTGAAAAATAAGTGCTTTGGAATATTGGAAACATTTCCTCTTAAAATAGTATGTTTTAGCTGTTTTGTGTATGTTTGGGTGAGTTTGGGAAGCACACATGCTTTCCATGCAGCTGTGGGGCCCTGACTGCCTCCTCTGGGAAGGTGTGTGTGTGTGTGTGTGTGTGTGTGTGTGCACACTGCTGGGTGCTCTGCGAGGCTTCCAAGCACATGCTGGCCTGGGCAAAATAATTCTCATTTAAGTACATGTGCAGTTTTAGTTTAAATATTATAGCATATTTTGATTGGAATTTGAATAGTGATCTTGAATCTAGTGATCTTGTGAACTTGTAGCTCGATCTCTGGGTTTTTTTTTACTTTGTATGGCATGAGAAATAGCTTATTGGAGTTGTTTTGTTTTTTATGTACTGCATAATACAGAGTTGGCTGGCAGCATTTAACAAACATGTTACAGTTGTCACATAGGATGTATTTTGAACATACTAAATTATATTCAGACACAGAAGCTGCACAGTATGAGTCATAGAATCATGGAATCATTCAGATTGGAAAAGACCTTCAAAATCATTGAGTCTAACCACGACTTAACCGTACTACTTTAGCTCTAACAACCAACCTTCTGGTTGATTGGTATGGTTGGTTTAGATATTTGCAGAGCTTGCCTGGTTGGAGGACTTGTCCTGATGCTGTTGTATATAAACTCTTGTTCTGCCACAAGTCTGTCTCCCTGCAGTAGATGCCTTTTTGTTCCCTTTTCTGGCTCTTTCCCTTCCCCTAGTGAGAATAACATCCATGGCACCACTTAGAGGCCCAACTCAAGAATGTGAACTGGCTGCAAACCAAGAAGGTGCATTGTGGTGGTGGTGGTTTCTCAGTTTTTCGGTTCTGTTATTACATTTTGTGTACGTGGCTGTCCCTTATGTCATTATTAAGACTCCCACTCTCCCCATATGGCAGCCTGGTGCTGTTGTGTTGGCAAATGTTCCTGCTCCCTACCTTACCTCAGCATTGCTGCTGAGGTGGCTGCAATGCGAGTTGGACTTACCTTTGCTCTGAGCCACTTTGTAGCGTTGGTCTCCAGTCACATCAACAAGTGCAGTTATTACTGCTGATGCAAGAAAAGGGAGCATATCTGAGTGCTGCAGTGGGTGAGTAAGAGCAGCTGTGGCACGCAGCTCACCTTTGCCCAATGACAAACTCCTCCTGCATGGCTCGGTGCTGGGGCCTTGCACAGCTGACACATGCCTTCATAGCCCTGGCCTTAGGCTGGGTGCTGAGCCAGCCCTCCTGGATGACAAACCTAGCATTTCTGCAAGCCTTGTGTCTGTCTGTAAGTTTCCAATGGTAGTGGGCACTGTGAATTTGTTCACCACCATAGGTAAGGGGTTTGCTAACTTCCACCTCTGTGCAAGGTGGATGCTGTACAATATAATGACTTCTTGCTATGGGTTATCCCTAAATCTGTGTTTGCTTTGGTACAAGTAGCCTGCTTATGGCTTTTGCCTTAAGTGATTGTTACTGAATCTGGACCGTCCCAAAATGGCCGAAAACAAAATAGACAAAAATATTGAAAGTGTACTTAAAAAGCAACAGATTATTGAAGTGTAATCTTCAACCTGATTTTTGTAATGACTTTGAGACCTTAGTTGTACCTCAGTCAGTACAGGAAACGCACTGTCTCTGGTTTTAAAACAGAGACAGTTTCAAAGGCTGGTTCTGAAATCTCTTACTTTATTCTCAGTTCTTAGAATTTATGTGTTGGGAAGCACTTCAGAAATTGAGGTAGCTCAGCAACATGAGTGTGAGTTAAGTACACTCCTTCATCAGTTAGCTTACTGAAATGTAACTGTCTGTTGCACAACGTGATGGAACTGGCAGTTCTTAAAGAAACGAGGTGTTATTCCTACTTGCATCGCAATCCTTGAAGATACGGCTTTATCTCTGTGAGTCATTTTCACGGCTGTCTGGAACAGAGCTGACAGAGACCTGGGCCAGTGAAGACAGTGAGCTGTCCTGTTCTGTGACAGCTGCCTTCCACAGTGATGCAATAACTGTTTTCAGACGCTAAAATTAAGAAGAGCTTATCATTGTACTGAGGAATCTTTAGGGACGTCACCAACAGAACTTTTCTAACCATGGGATTGTTTTTCAATCGCTTGCCAATGCTCAGGATTCTCTTTTCCCATTTCTGCTCTGGGGAATTTCTGCCCAGACCACTGCTCAGGGTCTGCCTTGCTCTCCTGTAATAGAAGCAGGACTGGGGCTGTTGTGCTAGCTTTGGTCTCCATCAGAAACCACTTCTAATTCAGTCATCTCCTTCCTTTTGACCTGGGAAGGAACAGCTTGAAAACAGCCTATTTAAAATGAAGGTGAAGCTAGCTTTTTTTTTAAAGGACTCATTCTTTTTTTTTTCCCCCCCAACTTCCTGTATATCATTCTTCCCCATGTGCTGCTCACTTCAGGGACTCTCTCCTGCTCCTCCTTTTAACACTCATTTTCTACAGCTTTTCTCTCATTTCTTCTTTCTGCTTATGTCACTGAATGACCCCATTTCCACATGCAATTGTGGGATACAAATATGCTTCCTGCGCTCCTTCCTCTCCTGTAGTTTGGCAGGGTAAGAAAAATGCTCTATTTAGTCACATTAGTGGAGACCCTAGCAGGAAGAGTTGTTGGTTTGTCTTTTTTTCCCCTCACCTTGGTTTTGAAGAATAAGGTTGCAGAATGAAAATCCATCAGTTTAGGTGAAAAAACTTGCCCCTGTGGAGTTCATTTTTTAACAGATGCTGCTCGGGATGCCCAGTAAGTGGGTGCCTTTACTGTGGAATTAGTCCTTTGCAGCCTTTATAACTCCACTGAAAAAGCATTGATCAACTAGAGAAGTATTTCTGTATGGGAACATTTCTATATGTTATGCATATAACATTAAATAGGAATAACTGTATAGCTGTTTGTGTTTAAATTTGCATTCTTCCTTGCATTTGAAAATACCAGATAATTTGTTTTGTTCTCTCTTTCCTTGACCAAAGAGGCACAGATGTCAGAATAACCAAAGTAGGACTTGAGGGCTGTGGACTGTACAGAAAGCACAAGGTATATGAGGTGTAGAGGCAGATATCTCTTGTAGCTTCGGCTGAGTGTTAGGAATCTTATGTGGTGGGGAAGTCTTAGCTTTGGCTATGATGTGATTTTGGACACGTCAGCTATTTAACCAGTCTTGTTGTGGACAGCCAAATGGTTGGTTCAGCAGCACGCAAGTAATGCATAGTACAAATGGGAACATCTGGCAGAGTCTTAGGCCTAGTGTTACGCAGAGTGGATGCTTTCTTCAAGCTCAGGCAGGTTGTGCTGCTTCTCTTTATAAAATCATGTTTGTATGAAGTTGTTGTGTTGACACATGCGTTAAGGTTGAATTAAATTCCTATTGCTGCAAGGGTGTTAGAATGACCCATAATAACAGCTACAAGAAGAGATTGTGCGTAAGTCAAGTTAATGATCTTTGTTTTCTTTAAGGTATGTTTTGACTGTGGGTCGAAAAACCCTAGCTGGGCAAGCATAACATATGGAGTCTTTCTTTGTATTGACTGTTCAGGGACGCACCGGTCACTTGGCGTGCACTTGAGTTTCATTCGGTAAGTGGTTGGTATCTTCCTACAACAACAACAGAAAGATTTATATTCCAGCTTCTAATGTTTATTGTTTTGGTTTTTTTTTTCTTTGGATGCCTGATCAGAGAGAGAAGCCCATTCTTTTCTTCTCCTTCAAGCGTTTTTAATGTTTGTATTGGCTTTGTTTTATCTGATGGCTACTTGGGAACTAGGTAAATAGGTAGGGTTCAATAGCACTTATGCCATGCACCCTTTCCCATTACCTGCTTATTGTGTCAGTAGCACGCCTTTGTTGACAGATTTGTTTCTGCACTGAAGATGATGAAAACAAAGAAGGGAGAAAGCACTTTGAAGCGCTTTATCATTTTCTCCGAATCAAGACTGAGGCAGATAGCACTTTGTTATCTTCAGCAGTGTGACACTGTGTTGATCATAATGATAATCTGATGCGCTTGCAAGCCAGTTAAGAGACCCACGTAGCCTTTTTTTGCCCGCTTTGCTTCCTGAAAGTTGCACACGTTGCTGTAGTGCTTATACCAGGCGTAGAAGGAGAGAGTTTTTATGTGAAGTGCTACCCTCTCTGGTGGCTCAGCCAGTTGTTGCTGTTTTACTGAGGTTCTCTGATTTCAGGTGAGGACCCTCACCTGAGTTACATCTGGTAGGCATTTGAAATATTTGAAATGGAAGATACTGTTTGAAGTATATGAGAGCAATGCATTTAAGAATAGATTGCACTTAAAAGCGAATGTTTTCCATCAGCTAAAATCAATATTCTTCCTCTGTTGCTTTGTCACTGTGTATAAGAATGTTACAAAAGGTCTTTCAAGAATCCATTCCTGATGATCATAGTATTATAATGATTAGAATTCTTCTAATAAAATTACAGAATCACAGAATTGCTCAGGTTGGAAAAGACCTTAAAGATCAAGTCCAACCACAACCTAACCACACTATCCTAACTCTAACAACCCTCTGCTAAATCATGTCACTGCCTCTCACGTCCCCAAAATAATTTGTGTGAGAGACTCTTTGCACAGAAAAGGGTAGATTTTGAATGGCTGTGGAGATAACACTAAGCATGTTTCCCTCTCTTCAGATCTACAGAACTGGATTCCAATTGGTCTTGGTTTCAACTGAGGTGCATGCAAGTTGGAGGAAATGCAAATGCTGTATGTATCCTGCGCCTTGAAGCTTGTTAGGCTTGGAAACTACTGTTGATACATTGTCAGTACATCTAATTTAACAGTGAAACATTGATAACTGCTGAAAGATGTCTTTCCTTCTGCTTGTAAACCTAGTTAACAAGTGTTTTCCTGAGGCTGTGTTTAGTTATGGGGCTTACAATGATGCCATGCCAAAGAGCATGTCAGTGTTGGAAGTCTCTCATAAGTCAAGGTATGACTTTGGTACAGTTGAAATCCAGATAAGGCACATGATGCTGTCAGAGAGGAAGTAGCAGTGTTTTTGTTTTGGCCAATTCATATTGGCTGTTACTTTTGGTTTCGTTTTTCATATGTACTTAGAAATAAGTTTATTTCACAGTATTTTTGTAAGTTAAAGTTAAGCCAGTGCTGCATTTTTCTCAAAAAGAAAGTTCTGGTTTTATATCTATTTCCATGCAGTGAACGGTGAATTGTGGATCATTATAATTTATCTTCCACTTCTGCATTTTGCAGTCTTTAAATTATATGAATTTAATTGTCCAGTTTCTTTCTTAGCACCTGGTACATAAACACCATAGTTCTAACTAATCAGAAGAGGGATTTTTTTTTTTTTTAGCCAAAGATTTTAAGACAATTGGAAAGAAGAGGCTGCAGAGTTTGAAAAAGAACCGCAGTTACTTTCAGAAAGCATATTCCCAGAGGATTAACAGTAAACATCTTTTAAGTTTGTGTGGTTTCTTTTACATTCTGCTTGGATGTCGCTGTTTCCTATAACGCATTGCCAAGAGGTCAAATATAAGCACACTCACTCCTTGTACACCTCAAATTCATAATGATCTGTTTTGGAGTTCCTGAGAAATGAAGATAAATGGCTGAAAATTTAAAGACCAGTTTAGTAAAGTACCTGAACATTTAAAAAGTAAAGTTGACATTTTGCCTTTAATTTAATTTAAAAACAGTTTGGTTTTTTGTTCCAGCTCAGTTAAATTCTATTTTTACTAACTGTTGCTTAGATGTACTGCCAGATTAACATTTGCTATTTGTATTTTATAATTGCCTGATGACACTGAATCTTGGATAACAGCAGTTATGAACTTCCTAACTATTTCCTAGCTCTCTTGGAGGTTGCTAGGAAATGTGGTGTTGCAAGTTCCTTTTGTCTTCAGAATAAATATCTGCAGTGATGGCAATTGGGGCCTACAAAGAAAAGCTCTGAAAGTCAACTTCATAAATGTAAATGTTTTTATAAGCAGAAATACACAATGTTTGTGGCAGGGTGACATTTACAACTGTTTTATTGTAGTTACAGAAGTTGACTGGCTTAATTTTTTACAGAGTGTGGTATTTGTGTACTGGTTTTACATTTGACATTACAACCTTCAGTTACCTGGATTTGTTGACTCTATCAGAAACTTGTTTAGTGTGTTTTACTGTAATGGTCTGATACATTCTTTTGTGCAAGAACGTATGATGTAATTTGCTACTTAGTTCTAGGTACTAAAAAACATACCTGGTTTTTCCATGTTGTTATCTTGCAAACAAAATTTGTATGTAAATAAGCACATAAAAAGAGTGTGTGTATCTATGCGTACATACACAGAAATTTGGGGGGGTTGGGTTTTTTTGTTGTTGTTTTGTTGTTGTTTTTTTTTTTTAAGGAAGATCATTTCTTTATATTTATTTTGATGCTATTGAATTATTGTGGAATGACTTGGGTTGGAAGAAATGCTCATCCAGTTCCAGCCCCCTGTTGCAGGCAGGGCTGCCCCCCACCAGCTCAGGCTGCCCAGGCCCCCACCCCACCTGGCCCTGAATGCCTCCAGGGATGGGGCAGCACAGCTTCTCCAGGCAGCTGTGTGTGCCAGGGCCTCACTGCCCTCTGAGTAAAGAATTTCCTCCTGACATCTCACCTAAATTTCCCCTTTTAGTTTAAAGCCAGTCCCCCTTGTCATATCGTTGTCTGCCCATGTAAAAACTCTGTTGAACATACATTATTCTCCCCGGCACGTTTGACATGAAGCCAAGCAATGCCTTTTAGAATATCAGAAACATCTTTTGAAGCACAGCTGTTGGCAGTCAGTTATCTCTTCCTTTCTTCAGCTGTTAGATTTGGAGGTAGGAATCATTCTATATGGTTGGAATTGTGTATAATTCTAGAACATTCCACTGATGTTTTTGGGTTTTGTTGTTTTATGTGTTCATATGTTGCCATAATGGAGTTTTCTTCTTATTTGGAGATTTACATAGACTTCATAGTTTACAAGATTTAGAGACAGGAGCAGAGTCTTTTGCTGCATTGCCATGTATACTAATGTTAAGTGCCATTTGTTTTGAAATTTGTTTCTTATAGCATTTTATATGTTTTGCTTCATAGTCTGCTTTTTTCCATCAACATGGATGCACAACAAATGACACCAATGCCAAGTATAACAGTCGAGCTGCTCAGCTTTACAAGGAGAAGATTAAATCTCTTGCGACACAAGCAACAAGAAAACATGGTACTGATGTAAGTAATGTATGTCTTTTGTCATTTAGATTTCTGAAATGCTTCCCATTCCTTTACCACTAGAGTCATTTAAATTTCTAATCTACAATGTGAAAGATAATTATTTTGGAGGTACTGCTACACATTGCTTTGAGGAGGCAAGAAGTGGAGTAAATAATTTGCAGCAGATATCGAGGGTAGAGATGAACCTGATGTTTCAGAATCACTTCTGGGTTACTCAAAACATTAATCGTATCATTTGGAGTAACTTACAGGAATTGTAGGTGGAAACTTCAGGTATTCTTCAAAATGGGAACTACTTTGTTTCACAGATGTACTGCAAAATTGTATTTGTGCTGTTGCACAATGAATATGGCAGCTCTTCTCCATGAGTTATGTATTGTGATTAGATTTGCTTTTCTGCAACTGAATTATTACTTAGAAGTACAGCATAGTAAGAAAATAGAAGTGCCAATAGCTGTCTATAAGATAGTTGTGATTTTTACAGTGTTTTGATTTGAGTAGGTACATTTTTCTACAAAAATTATACTTGAAAAATTCACAAATTCTGTGTCTTGAGTACACTGTTCTGTTAAAAGTGCTGATGCAGTTCAGGCATGCTGTCAAAGCCTAGAAGTGAGATTGCTGACAGGGAGAAGTTGTTACTGAACTATGCAGCATATGAGTTTGCTGAGGCGTTAAGTAAGTTTGACACAACAGTTCTGTTTTGCATATGCAGAATGAATGCTTTGACTTTTTAATTCAGTGTGTTCAAGTCCGTGTCTAATTCATTTGAAGTTGATCAGATGAGTGGGAATTAAACAAACAAACAAACAAAAAAAAAAGAAATGAAACAAAACACAATACAGTTTTCTTGCTTTTTTTCCTTCTAGTCTATATGTGATACAGCATGAAATTTAGTGAGTTATAATAATTCTATGTTATGGATATTGTATTTAACGTGGTTTACATCACTAATTTCAGATAATTTTTTTACTTAATAGCTTTAGATATGAAACAAATTTAAGTAAACTTAATATACTATTTGCATATAAGTTGGCATGAAGTTCCCCAAATGACACTTTAAAGAGCTGTGGTTATCTTCAGTTATAGATTTCATCCAAAAATGTGGTATTAATAATTTATTTCTTACATTTAAAAAAATAGTAAATATATTTCTGAATATACTGCAAGGTTAAGTGGTGATGTGCTATCTATATTGAAGTTTCGTTCAGTAATTAGTCTTCATACTGGTCTCATTAAAAAAAAAAAACACCTCTAATTTACTGGCTCTTTTGATTATTTAATGATGAGGCAAGCTTGTTGCATATTTCATAACCTTTTTGAATATGGTCACTATTTTCAGCATGATGTCTTTTGCGTGTATTAGTAAGAACCTTCTAAACTTAGAATGTAGATCACAAGTTCAGGTATTGTCTTGCAGGGTTCCGGGAATGACCTGAGGCACTTAGGGCTCTGCAGCCTACCTGAGAACTGTTAGCATCTTGCTACAGCTTGCTGCAGGTGTAGTAGAGGTTTTGGAGCTCTAGACCGAGTGGGACAATTCATCAAAGTACCAGACCATGGTATTTTCTTAGTGTTTTTTTTATTCTTACATGAGTATATGAAAAAACTTGATTCTAAAACTCTAGTGATACTGAATATTGATAATATTACTGCAGCAGAGCTTATACTGAGTATTTGGTTAGGAAGGAAATGGTTACTGGGAAGGAAGATATCACAGCCATGGAATCTAAACAAAGAATGTCATACACTCAAATAAATTGGCATGGGTGAAATACTTAGGAAAAGAAAATCACTAAATTTTTAACCTGATAAAAATGTAGTTCTAACATAAGTGCCTTTTTCAGAATACTTTAATGCAATTGTCTTGTAAAATTAATCTCCTCCTCCTCCTTCTTTACCTTGATCCTCTCTGTGAACACTTGTAGCTGTGGATAGATGGATGTGGAATGCCACCTGCATCACCTCAGCACAAAGAAGAGGACTTTTTTGCATCCCATGCTTCTTCCAAGGTATAGGTTGACTCTGCTTAATTCTTTGCTTTCTGAACATATCAGGATAACTGTGTGTTCTGTTATGAAGGTTAAACCCTGAAAGAAAATCTTAGGCAGTAGGTTGTTGAGTTAAACTCATTCATCTTCTCATCCTTCTGTGAGTCTCAAAATTCTTCCTGAATGTGAATGATTTTCTAAGATGATAGTTCAGAATTACCCAAATAATAGCTGAATCTGGAATGAAACTGTTTTTCTTAGGCACGCAATTTCACTTGGACTCATGACTGAGCCATTTGGCTTGAGATTGCCCTGATCTAAATTCACTAAGTGAAAACTTCAGTTTATAATCAATAAAATGTAATAGTTCCTAAAACATTGGTGAAGCAGGTGCTTTTTTTCCTCCCTGCAGAATTACATCCTCTTTGGAAAAAAATTAAATTATTTTAATTTTCTGCAGGCTGTTGCTGCTGTTGGTTTTTATGTGTTTGATCTTAGCTCTGCTATGCTTTCCCAGTGCCTTTTGGTGATAGGTGCTGTGTATAGTTTGGAGAGCAATGTTTCAGAGACTCTCTTGACTCTGTTATTTGAAAAATACCCATGAAAGCAATTGAGACCTTAAACTTCCAATAATTAAGTTACTGCTACACTAATATTCCTAAATATTGCAACAATATTGAATGTTCTGGCAGTAGTGTTTTCTAGTACATTTGCTGTCTGTGAACACCTAAAGCTTTTTGTTATAATCTAGGGTTTCACCAGAAGATGATCTGTTCTGACAGTAGAAAAACAATTAACGTATTTTTATTTCCAAAAGGAACGTGGAATAACACTTGCAAGGAAAAGCATAAGCTGAAGCAAGCTAGGGAGAAGGAGGGTTAAGCAGAGAACTGCTGTAAATATTTTTAGGCTGAGGACAAGAAGTAGGAACTTGATGCAAACCCTTTTGGGAGAATTTATGGGTCAGGTACAGTAAATTTTCAGAGCAAAGTTTTTGAATAGCTGAAAAGATAGGAGTTCAGAGACAATTAGTTTGTGTGCCTCAGGGCAAGACATTCCTTGAGTGTGGTATTTTGAGAGGGAAATGACAGGAAGCTTTGAGGTTGAGGTTTTAAAGAAAAGCAAGCATGAACTGGCAAAGGGCTGTAGAGGAAAAAAGGTAATATTAAGCAGGTATTATTGTGTCCAGGCCTCAAGCTTGCCTGGTGAGAAGGATTTGTCTGAGCTAAATGAAAGGACTCAAAGACTTTGGAGTACTGCTTGTAGTCAAAAAGTAAATGTTAGAAAATAAGAAGTATGAGAGCCTAGTGTGGGGAGAAGAGTTGGTTACTATATGTAAATAAATTAGAAATCAGATCTCATGTACTGGATAAATGTTAACAGTAAAAAAATAATAAAAGAGAATGGCCAGCTTACAGCGATGAAGTCTAGAATGTAATTAAAATGCATGTTGTTGTTTTGGATGGTAAACACTGAAATTTCCTGAAAGGTGGACTCAGATGCTCAGCAGTGCTTTGAAAACAGGTCACTTTTTAATAATGGTAGACATTTCTTTTAATAGGTTTTAAAACTAGAAGCTACAGTCATAAGAATCCAATACTAACTCATCAGTGGTTCTTGAGTACAGTGCTCGTATTTATTTGATGGATTCCATTTTGTGTGCAATTCTGATTTTTATTTTTATTTTTTTTAATTCAATATGAAGAATACAGAATGGGTATTATCAGAGCCAGAACCAGTTCCTCTACAACAGAAAGCTTCAGAAAACATCCTGGAAAGCTATGAAGGTATGATTGGTTCTTTGTTAACAAAAAAATTTTGTGCATTTTCTGACAGTTTCTTTGTTTAGGCTCTCTTTGCCTTGCTTCAATAGTTAAATCATCTAACCTTGCTAATAACTTCAGAATTTTGGGAAGGATTGTGTTTCTAGAAGGGTTGTGCTAGAATGTGTGGTGTTGCATGTTCCTTTAATAATGTTTAGTAGAAATCCAACTTAAAGTCTGGTTCAGAAGATTTCAGATGAATTTTTGGGTGACTGTTAGTAGCTGGTAAAGCTGTAACAGAAATAACACATTATGGTGTCTGTATCAAACTCTGAGGATGGTGAGTTGTGTTTTGGTATTTAAACATTATGATGAACTTTCTGGTATTCTTACCCTTGCTGTACATTATATTTTCAGGTGGACCAGAACATGGACCAAGTGTTGATTGCCTTAGTACATCACCAAAAGCCACATTAGGTAATGAGCATAAGCAGAAGACAGCAACCAGTACAGTGTACCTCTCTATGTGTTTTTACTCAGGAGTGTGTGACTGAGAAGGATGTGCAAGTCTTACTTCAATATTCTGTACATGAGTTATTTTGAAACATCAGAATTTGTTTTACGACTTCTCTTAAATGCTGTATTCCACTGAAGAAATCAAGTTTAGTCAACAGTGTTCTGGTTTTATCTATGTTATCCTTGCTGACTTGGTGAGTTTAAATGCACCGAGTAATGTTGACCAATAATGCTTTGAGTGTGTTAGCCGCCTTCTAGTTCTGCATCTGTACACAGGTGGAGCACTTTGCTGTGAATAATGGCCTGCTTTTTTTGTTTGTTTGTTTAAGCAAGAACTTTATGTAAAGCAAGTTGTAGGTTTGCTCCCTTTTCAGAAAACAAGACATAATTAGGCAGGAAAAATCTTGTATTTGTAATGTGAGATCTTCATTGTCTAGAATCTTAATTTGCATAACAGTAAGTTCTGTGTATTCTTGTTTAGTCTATTTCTGACTAAATTTCAACTCGAGTTTCTCCTATATGTGTAAGCATTTAGTAGGAGTTGTTTGGAAACTGTAGTCAATTCAGCTGCTAATGGCCTCATTAAAGTACCAGGATCAGAAGTTGCTTCAGACTTCATGAAGAGCAGGATGTAAATACATTTATTTTGTATGTTTCAAAGTCTAATACAAAGCATTAAGTCTGGAACTTGCAAACTTTATATGTAAATTTAGACTCCTAGTAGTATATGTAGGCAATTGAGCAAAACTCTTCAGTTCAGTGGTAGAGTATGTTGTCACCTCTGGTGATGTTTGTGATTTTGTTGGTGCAGTTATAATGATACTGATTTATTTTATCACTGGTTGTTTTAAACATAGATAGTGCCTTTCTATCTAGTGAAAATTTGTCCTGGAAGTGGTTTGGGATCAAGTAAACTTCTAACATGATTCGGAATGGCAAGTCTGTGTACTAGTAGGTATCCAGAACCGAAAACTGAACTGTAATTTTATTCTTCGTAAGAATAGGCAAGAGGTACCATATCCTCAATCAGAGGCTCTTTCTCACATTTTCTTGGTAATAGTTACCACTCAGTTCACTGTTACTCAATTTAGTTTCTGAATCTCTTCATGAAGAAACTGTAATACTTTATGATAGTAAATTTGAAAACACATCTTGAGACTGAAATTGTAGAAATTATCTTTTGCAGTTCTGAAATCAATAAAAGTGTATGTCAAGTAATGTACATTTCATCATTGCAGAGAACACCTCCTTTATAAAAATGAAGCCAAATCAGGTTAAGAAAGGGGTAAGTCTATATAATTAAAATTTTTATTTTTCCTCTGCATTACAGACCTGTGGAAATAGTAAATTACAATTTGGAAATGTATTATGTGAGTTAATACTAAACAGTACATATATCAGTAACAATTTATGAAACTAAAATGCAATAGAAAACTTACATCACAACAAGTAATGACCCATTGCAAAATGAATAGGTCCCTTCCAACTCAAATGATTTTCTGATTGTTAAGATGAATTTGTCTGACAGATTACTGATTACTGTTGTTCTGTAGCAGAGTACTTAAGATGCATGAGGAGGTTTCTGATTTCAGATAAATTCTGAGTGCGTTTGCGTACTTGCAGCTTATGGCACTGTCTAGACTTTTACACCTGCTGTCTTTTAAAAAATAAGTAAAATAAAAGTGTCAAAGCCTGTATTGATACATAGGCTTCATTCACAACCATTATGCCTGCAGCTTCATCCTTTAATGTGCCCTGTAACCTTTCTTCTTTCTTGTCAGAGATGTTGACTCTGGATTGACTTCTTTAGTCTTTCAACAATATTAGTTGACATTTGAGTTCTTTTTATTGCAAATCCTGAAAACAGACATTTCCAATAGCTCTTTTAAGTGGCTAAATATGCATGCATGGCTTAATGTGTCAGTATAAGGTGAACTTGAGACATTCAGGTTTTTATTTGTGTAGCAACTCTCATCTAGCATCACACCGCAGTATGGCGCTTTGTTGTATTTATAGATAACTTGCAGCTGCATTCAGTTGAAAATAGTTTCAGGATACTTTAGAGAGTTGTTTATGTATTGGATCCCAACGCTTTCTTAGGCATCTGGCCTTTGTACAGAAGACGTGAGGAGCTTGAGTGATTGTTCAAGGAACTGAAAACTGAGCCAGATATTTCAGAGTTGACTCAGTGTATTCAGGGAAAGCTAAGTTTTGGGAGTATAGCTCACAATTCCCAATAAAATATCCCTAATAATAGGCTACAAGGATGTCATGTTACAGGGAGTCACTACATTTAGGTTTGGCTAATGTACTTCTCCGTACATTACATCCATTGGGTCAAACGATTGAAAAGATTGAAACATACTATTCATTGCTCCCACTAGAGGGCTCCAGTATACAAGAGGAATTTCCTGTTTATTCCAAGTGGCTGACACAGCTATGTTCTCTTAGAGATAAAAGAATGTAATTGGGTTCACAGGTGCACGTGCATTGTCAGAGCCTAAAACTGTACAATTCTGTGTGTACATAGGCCAGAGCTCTTAGATGAGGAATTCATGATGTTAAGATAGGTATATTGGAAAAATTAATATTGCTGTAGTGTTGCAGATGAAGAATTGAACACATGGGAGACTGAGAGCAGCAGTTTGAGTGTTTTGTTGTTTCTGAATCTTCATAATTTTGTCTATTCAAATTGGTAGTAGTCTGTGTTTTTTAAATAACTGATGAGCAGAATGAAAGGATTTGTATTCATGTTTTGAAGTAATGAGCTAGAAATAGATTTATTTTAAAAGAACCATCGCAAAACTGTGACCTCTTTAACTGATGTGTCTATCTTAATAAAAACAAAAACTTGCTGTGCTTTGTTATATGCAAATACTAATTGTGCATATAACTTTTGCATATAATTTGCATATAATGTTGAATACACTTATATACAAAGCTTGTGTATTCCTATCTTATGATTGAATACTTATGTACACATTTATTAAAAATAGGAGTAAATCAGTCCTACTGATTTACTACTTACTACTAAGACTGGCCAGTAAGAACTATTTCAAAAATCGTAGTCACTTCTATAACTTCTGTAATTATGAATTAAGTGAATGAGCATCAAATGGTTCAGGTGCAACAAAGTTTATCATATTATTGTTATGCAGCATAATCATTATTGATGTTGCACTGTATATTCCCTAACAGAGTGTAGTATTTGTTGTTGCTTTCAAAATTGATTCTTCAGTATTTTCTCAGTTGTAATCATGGGTCTTTTTTATTTTTAATTTTTTTTAACAAATCAAGCTTGGTGCCAAAAAAGGTGGTTTGGGAGCACAAAAAGTCAGCAGCCAAAACTTCAGTGAGATTGAAAAACAAGCACAAGCTGTAGATAAAATGAAGGAACAAGAGGATCTTCGTAGCAGTAAGAAAATAGAGATGGAAGAGCCACTGTAAGTATGAGTTGTACACACAATGGTAAAATGCAGCGCCTGATTTGTTGTTAATGGATTAACTGTCAGCGTTTTAAATGCTGCCAAGCACTACTTTTGCAAATAAAGCTTTAGTTCTTAATTCAGTGAAGATCCCCAAATGTGAGTGGGATGTGTCAAAAAGAAATTGTTCCCTTGGCCATGTTATCAGATGAGACTCTCACCTCTTGAACTTTCTTTATTCAGTACTTGTTACAGTAGTTCGTTTTGGTAGTTATGTAATTCATTTTGGTTTGGTGTAATGAAGCGTATAAACATTGTAACAGACTCACTGATTGCTTAGGAATCATACAGGTGCTCTGTATTATTTGTGTATGTATTGGGTAAAAGTTTTGCTGTCAAAAGCAGCAGGTTGGTTAAGTATGGCTAGAATTGCCTGCTTAAGTTTAAGCTGTTTTATACAGAAGCTGCCTTCATTTTCATAAGAACTTGTTTTTTGTCAGAGGCCCCAACTCTGTTGGTCCATCCTCAGTAAATAGGCTGCAGCTTTTATTCTTAGCATTACATCTGATAAGAACTAGGTTGCCTCATTTTAATAAACTGTTGAGGAATTTTCTGTGTATAATTGCAATTGCAAAATGAGAAGATCACTTGGAATTCACGATACCAAGCTTTTGGGCCTACAATCTGCTTCATGGTATTTTTGCATACATGTTACATGGCCTCTGCAAAAATGGATGTTTTGTGTGCATCAAAAGTATTAATCACAAAGGGATCGTTTGGTTTTTTTCTGAGTATTCTGACAAAAATCACATCCTTCATCGATTGCCAGAAATTGCCAGTAAACTGAATTGCAGGAATGTGTTGCTAAATAAAGATGAAAAATGATTGTTCATTATTAATTATTAGTATTCTTTATGATAATCTTTTAAATGATATTATGCAGTTTGGAAGAAACTCACGTTAGTGATTCTGTTTTTGTGTCAGAAACATTTGTCGGTACCTGATGTGTATAGGTCCACTGCAATATTTCTGGGCTAGCTAGAACCCTCTAGGAGTGTCTGTAAATGCAAGGGATGCACATAGACCTCAGTTTATGTATCCAATCTCAGTAGGGGCAAGGTAACGTTCACTACAGATTAACTTTTTGGGTTTTTAACTGTAGATGGCAGTGTATATCAAAATTAAAGAAGAATGAATACTTCTAAAGTTGTGCATGCCTACACCTAATTTGTGTGGTTTTCATTTTAAAATCTAGTAACTAATGAGTGAGTAATGAGCTTTAGTAAATTATTTAATTGTGACTTTGTTACATGTTTGGAAATCATACTTTTGATGCTTTCTTTTTAGAAAGAGACCTAAGATTTGAAACTTAAAAAGTAATTTTATAATTGGTACACAGTTTCTTCATTTTCTGCTGTACAGTGACAAAATAATAGACTGCTAGAGTTACTATAAAACTAATAGGTATAATGATGATTTTTAATCTGCAGAAAATAAGAGGTTTTTTATGTTCGTTAAATAGATTTCATGAAACAGACTGCTATCTTTTTATTTAAGTAAAGTGCTGAATAGATTTCTTTCAGTATCAGTATTAAGCTGAACTTTAGAAAACATTTCCCATTTTCTCTATAATGATTGGTTCTAAATAGTAAGAATTGATTAAAAACTTTCCTGGATACATTCTGTAGTTTGATGATAAGTTTTTCAGATTTTACTGATTTCAAAAATCATTCAACAGATGACTGACATTTATTGTTGCCAGCATCTGAACGTAAGACATAATGCATTTTAGTTCTGAATTAAGGCCTTCTGAAGGGCCAATCAAAGGATATCCAGTCATCCTAAGTTCAGGTGCACAACCTCTGTCTTGAAGTAGTCTGCACTGTCCAGATATGACCTTTGTTAGAGGCATCTTGTACTCCTGTTTAAAATTAAGTAAGGGCACATGGGGCCTGATGAAGAGCAAGACCAGAAGAGCCTGTTTCAGTAATCAAGTGGCTTTTCTTTTCATTCCTGCTTCCGTATAAAATGGATGGAAAGTTAGAAGGAAAATGTGTTGTTTTCAACTTAGATATTTCCCTTCTACTTGCAACAGGAAGTCTACAGGTATCTACAAGTAACATCTAATTCCCATTTGCTTTTCTTCTGATAGTGTTCATTTGTACTTTATGACAGACACAACCTATGAATTAGATATTGTTGTGTTCCTCATTAAAATTACTCTTTGTATCCCTTTTAAACTAACAAATTAGATTTAAGCAGTGTTCCTACAGTTCTGTAATCATGATTTAAAATCTCTACCTACTACATTGATACTGCTGGGAAAATACTGTTTTGAAGTTTAGAAAGGCCCATGGCATCTCAGCTCTTACTGTATTTGAATTACAAGGATGTTTCAGGTGACAAAATATGTTGCTTGTCATGGAGTAAATACATTTTGGATGCTCCAGAGATTCCATACTGGAGAATATATTTGATGTTGCAGCTACAAAGATTCTCTTCCCTCTTCTGAGATTCTTTTTCTGGGACAGAGAAGAGCAGCATCAGCAGAGGGGAAATGTAGTCTACCTCTACTAAAAGTTCCTCAAGTATATATAGCAGGTGTTAAAACCATTAGGAGCATGTAGGAAGATATAGCAGGGCCAAGGAGTGCTCTTGGGGAGCGCATTACTAGTGTTGTATTGAGGATACTGTAATGTATCAGAGTTGGGTGATTTTGGTAATTATTGGGAAGCAGGTACCACTATGACAGTGGTTGACTTGATGGTAGAGCAAAACAGTACCCTGAACTTTATCAGTAGAAATTTTTACATATCTTTTGAAGGAGGAAAAAACAACAACAACAACAAAAAACCCAACCATACTCAGAGTACTGTTTAAACAGTATTCTCTACCACATTTTTCCCATTCTTATAGTTGGAATGTGGTCTTGTTAATAATGAATATTTTCAGTAAACACAGAAAACAAGATACAATTGTATAATACGCATTACCTGTTTTCTATCAATATTGCTATTTTAAAATGATTTTACATTAACATTTAACTGTATGTTTTGTTCTAGTGTATCATCTTTACGATTGGCCTACAGAGATCTTGATATTAAAACGAAAGAAGAAAAGTTAAATCTATCTGGTAAGAAGAAAAATGAACTAGAGAGGCTTGGCATGGGATTTGGCAGCAACAGAAGGTATGTGAGGTTCTGTACCCTGAAATAGACTGTAAATAGACTGTGATTTTATGCAAATAGTCTTGATTTTACTTTTGAAATGAAAAAATATACTGAAGTGTTACGGAAATGCAATTGTCAAAGAATGGAGTATTTGTCTGAGAAAGGGGTAGGAGTTTTAATTTTCCAGACAGATGCTAACTTAAATTGTAGATTGTCTGTAGGATTTTTGAGTTATTTAGCTGTCTGTGATGAGGGTAGCAGGAATGTCTTCTTGAACACTACAAACCTAAGCATAGTCTACCCGATATGTGCCAAAACTCTGAAAAATCATATGGCTCTTTTACAGCTGTTGGAATGCTTTGTATATTCAAAAGTCTTGTCACTACTTCAGAGAACTGTAGCTGAGCTTTCAAAGGCTTCTTTACTTTTTAAATTCCCCATTTCTTCTTAAATGTTTATAGAGATTTTGCAATGACAGCAGGCTTCAGAGACTGCACAAGGGCTTTCATTATTTATTTATTTATTTTAGAATGTAGGCTTTGTCATCTCTTCACATTATTATTATTATTTTCACTTTCCACAGTGGCATTTCTCACTCTGTCATCTCAGATATGCAGACAATAGAACAAGAAACACCAACAGTTGCAAAACCAAAGAAAAAGTACATAGATGATGCAGAAGACTCCTATTTCTCTTCTTCTAGTTCAAGGTAATGTATTGGCTTTATGTTTTGAGTGTATGCAAGTTATGTATTTCAGTGTATGCAGTATATTTGAAACAAGGTAAATGTTCACAAAGTGTTCATGAATGTCAGTAGGTGCTATTTTTTCCCATATGGAGGAATTTAGTAACACAGCTTTGCTTCATACCCACTTCCATATCGGGCACCATGTTGTCAGGCTGCCCCTCTGCTGCCATCTGTCACACAGCAACAAAATGCAATGGAATATCTGTGGGAAGGTCCAGCCTCTACTGCCATTCCTCCAACAGCCACCCCTGACATCATGAGCCAAAATCATAAAATACGAGGCATTACTTTCTGAGTAGCCTTTGTAAATATAGAATATAGTTAATATATATAAATAACAAAACTCATTTTAATTTTTGATATTTTTATATTAAAGCATATAAAGAAGAGCAACAAAAATGTGAAATTAGTGGGATTTTTTACCTTACTGTAGGGAAACTATGTTCCATTTCCAAAGTCACAGCTAATATATTTATGTTGACAGTTAATATATCAAAAATCCGTAAACTTATTTGCCATAACTTGAGTCAGCACTGCACTGTGCCCACCTCATGCCCTCGTTTCAGACCGGATAGGGATAATCACTCACTGATGTTCGATTGGTGCTGAGTGACAGTTGTGCACTTGGGCCAGAGTGGGTCAGAGCCACCACCACAATGGTACAGGGCAGAGGGTGGCTGCATTGTTAGCTTTGTTGGTCCACATACAGACCATGGGTTGGGCATACTTCTTTTACTTTAGAAAGTATTTTACCTCTTTCTTTTACTTTAGAAGTATTCCCCTTGTTTCATTGCTATCAAATTGCATAAAAAGTCAGTCTCCCACCTATTCTTAAGTTCCTTTTAGGTACTTGAAGGCCACAATGAGGCTTCCCCGGAACATTCTGTTCTTCAAGCTGAACAAGCCCAGTTTCCTTAACCTGTCTTCATGAGAGTACTCCAGCCTTCTGATCATCTCTGTGGCCCTCCTTTGGACCTGCTCCAGCAGCTCCATGTCTTTCTTGTGCTGGAGGCCCCAGGTCTGCATACCCTCGTGAGGGCAGAACAAAGGCCTCCCTTTGCCCTGCTGGCTACCTCTCTTTTCATGCAGCCCAGGATACAGTTGGCCTTCTGGGCTGCAAGTGCTCAGTGGTGGCTCATGTCGAGCTGTTCATTCATTGTGCCAAGTCTTTCTGGGCAGGGCTCTCCTCAATGAGTTCTCCTTGTCAGTGCAAATATGGGATGGCTCCAGCTCAAGTACAAACAAAAAAAGCTTGCACTTTGCTTCCTGGAACCTCATTTGGTTAACATGGGCCAATTTTTCAAACCTGTCTAGATACCTTTTATGGCATCCCTTCCTTCTCTTCTGTCAGCTGCACCATGCAGCTTGGTGTCATCAGCAAACTTCTGGGGATGCACTCAATCTCACTGTCTTTGTCACTGATAACAATGCTGAAAAGCACAGCTCCCAAGACAGACCCGTGGAGGACACTACTAACCACTGGCCTCCACCAGGTGATAAGACCACTGACAGCAGCCCTCTGACTGTGGCCATCCCACCATTTCTTTATCCATCCTGTAGGCCAGCCTTCAAATCCATATCTCTCTAACTTAGAGACAAGGATGTGATGGGGACCATATCAAAGGCTTTGCACAAGACCAGGTAGATGACATCAGTTGCCCTTCCTTTGTCCACTGATGCTGTTACTGTCATAGATGGCCACCTGACTGTTCAAATGTGATCTGTCCTTGGTGAAGCTGAGCTCTCTGTCTTGGCATGTGCCGTGATGTAGATCTCAGGAGGATCTGCTCTTGCTCAGTTGTTTGCTCACCAATACCCTCAAGTTATTCTGTGTAGGACTGCTCTCTATCCACTCGTTGCCCAGCCTTTATTCATGTTTGGAATTGCCCCGCTGCATGACCTTATTCTTGGCCTTGTTGAATTTCATGAAGCGTGCATAGGCCCCTATTTCAAGCCTTTTAAGATCCCTCTGCATAGCATTCCTGCCCTTCAACGTAATGAAAAGAAGCTACTTTTTTTCTGACAAGTAGTCTGAATTCTGTGGTACTTATAAGTTTTGTCTCACTGGTTGTCCAGTCCTGTCCCGTCTTTATTTGTCAAGAGTTGCTGTACAACCTTTCATTGACCATATGCAGAATCTTAGTTAATATTTGTTTGTTTTGTGGAACTTCAGTGTATCTTCAGTGCTCAGTTGAGAATTAAATAAATATCAAATTCTGGTACAAGGTTGACTGCTGTTGGAATCTTTTACCTAAAAGCATGCCAAATGCAGAAAAGTAAACCTTGATATATTGTGTGCTAGATGAATTAGGCAGATGTCTGCAGTCTTATAATACAAGACTTTGTCTTTAAACATAAAATTAAGAAAAATCCGAGACAAAAAAATTTGGGTCAAAGCACAAATACACTGCAAATTTTGCTGGGAAGGAGACAGCAAAGTGCTTGACAGGCATTAATTGCATTCAGACAGCTGGACTGATAGAAACAAGTGGTCCTTCTGTAAACTTTATTGAATTGCTGCCAAAGTAACATGGAAAATGGTACCTAATTACTTGTAGGTAGATAAATAGAAGTGCAGAGGCTTTTATGTCATTACTTTGTTGTGTAATCACTAGCAACAGAATTGCAAATACGATACCAAGCAAACTGGCAGCAGTCTTCTAAAATGAGACATGTATCATCTCAGTGCTCCTGTTTATTTGTACCTTGAAAAGGAGCTGTTACTGCTCTCAAATTATTTATAAGTCTACAGGCAGAGAAATTATGAATTATGGAAGAGGCTTTTTAATGTGTTTTGGTTCAATAATTAGAAGGTAAATTGTGACTTAGCTGCTTTTGACTCTTGTGCATGCTGTAGCAGTAGTAGAATCTAATTGGAGTTGATAAACAAATTCATTCTTTTTAGAGAAAGTGTCAGATTGTTGGACTTGGTAGGGTTTTTATTTATTGCAAGTTGTGACTTTGAAATAGAGGCAGAGTAACTTTACTGTCATCTCAGTATGTAGCAAAAAGCAAAATAATCATGCTGGATGTTAGTGCCGTGCTGGTGCATATCTGTAAATCAAGCAAGATAAATACCTTAAGATTTTATTACGTAATTAAAGCCTCTCAAAATTCTTGGATTAGTTTTGTTTTGTTTTTTCCTACATTTAAAAAATGTTTATTAACATAATAATGTAGGTATTTTTTATATGTGTGGGTTTTTTCCCTCTCTGATTACTGAAGAAATATTTTGTAAAGTTAGGAAAATCTGAAAGGGAAAGGTGAAGAAATAAGTCATTTTATTTAAAGTAGCTCATGAGTAATCCCTTTCCAATCCTGTCGTTTTGATGTTCTTTGAGGGATTAGATTGCTTCACCTCTCTGTCCTCATACCCCCACTTGTTATTGTGCATTCCTATAGAACTTTGGAAGATGAGCATCACTCTCTAGGTAAGCATCTCGTAGATTCCACATGTGTTTTTCATACTCCTCTACATCCCGCTGCCACAGGAACATTTGACTCAAAGTGAGCTGAAAGGCCAAAGGAAAATGGTTGTAGGAAAGCATATAGCAACTTGCCATATTTCTGAGCTGTTGAGAGCAAGATCAGCAGCTGAGTGAGGCAGTTTGGAAGACAATCTTCCCTCTGATCCTCTGCCACTTCTGTCTGGGAGTTTCTGCCTTCCTTTTATTCTATGAGGTGTTCCACTGAAAACAAGCTAGAATCACAGTAACAGGAAAAGATTGAATTAATATAATGATGTGTCCCAAAGAGTGATATTTCTCCTTTCATTTCAGTTTATATTGATGACTTCCTGTGGATTTTCCAGCTGTATCCATATAGTGGAGAGATTAAAATAGTGCTTTTAGCAGGAAAAAATGCCCTCAAAAATACATTGCATGTAACATCCACTCTGTGAGATAAAGCTGTGAAAATGAAGATTGCATCTCAGTGAGTCTCATTTCTTGGTGTCTATTGGGAGAGAAAGGGAGAGATTTCTGCAGAAGTTAATCACAGATCTGTCCTTGCTCTTTTACATGTACAGTGGTGGGAGACTTCACTGAAGGTGTCACATTTCCCATCAACAGCAAAACCAGTGTCCTGACTATTTATAACACAAACAGAGCATGTTTTTCAAATGGCTCTTTTCATGAAATGTGGGTCCTGGCTTTAATGCCTTCTTTTGTTTTGGTCGTCTTACCCCTATCCTAGTCGTATCCAAAGTTAGGATTTAAATTTAGCCACAAAGAAAAACACTCAGTGTTTAGCATTTAGATACGTTTTTTCCCCCAAGTTTTAGCCAGGCATCTTTAAACATATGTAGATAATCATATATAAGGGGAAATGCTCAAGATAAGATACCCTGTCAAATGTGCTTCAGTTTTTTTTCCTTTCTGTTTTTGTGTTCTCTGCAGTTTTGATATGCAAAAAGATTCTCAGTTGTTCAAATGAGACTGATTTTCAAGAAATATGTTCTTTATCATTGTTTAATAAAACATGTTACAAAGCTCAGAAGTTTCATAGTAATATTTGCATACAAAAACGTACAGAACCTGAGGTAAGGGCTTTCCATACAGCTTTGAATTTTGTTTGTTAATGCTGCAGAAAATGGGAGCAGATTCTCTTGCTGGAGATAGATTTGTACGTAACTGTGAGATCAGCCACTGTCAGCTCTGATTAGAAAAAATTTCCTGCATGTGGACCCACAGCACCATCAGATGGCATGGGTTAGGTACATTTGGATCTCTAAAAGTGCCTTGAAAGTGGTGGTGGCTTTATTTTGGTATATTACTATGGAGTGTGAAGAGCACCAAGTGTTTATGAACAGGCTGGTTTGTAGGGTTGTCATGATGCAAAACCAGTGCTCACAGGGTTTGTTCTGAAGGATTTCTCTTATGTCAAGTAGGTGTCTTGACAGTGTTTTTTTCCAAGTGTTTTGCCTGACCCTAAAACAGATGGAATACTTAACAAAATCTTTGTTCTGCTGTCTTTGATGGGAACAGATCTCTCTGGAAGTCCACACCGTACATTTGTGGCCACATCCAGCCTAAAGGGAAGGTGAACTTTCCACTCAGTTAAGTGTAAGATTCTACTTTTTCACTATTTCTTTTTTTTTTTTCTTTTATTTAGGTACTATGATTCTTCAGATTTGAGAAGCAACACTTTCTCTAAATGGGATGACAATTCAGATCCTTTTTGGAAGAAGGAAAGTAATAGCAGAGATGTTGATGTAATATTAACTCCGAAAAATACAGGCTTTTCAGAGAGGTATGCCAAGAAATACTGATTTTTGAACAGAAAGTCCAAGCATGTTAATACAATTTGAATCCTGATTATAGTAGTGCAATTTTTTTCTGACTAGAGGGAGAATTTGGTCACAGCTTTGATTATCAGGCAAGGAACCTCCTGGCTGAGTTTTCTTTGTAAGCTGAATTTGGTGATCAGTATTTTTAAAAAAGTTATTGTCTGTTTTGATTTGCAGTGTATCTACTGGAGGTAGTTTCCAAAGTATTTGCAGCAAAAGGGTGGTAGGCAAAATAGAGAATGACTCATATTTGAGTGTTTTGAGTACGTGCTTGTTTTACTTCCTTTGTGTATTGTCTTATGAACCAAGTAGAACCCAGTTACCGAAGGAGTGAAACTAAGCTCTTGGGATCAAGATATCATCACAATTAGGTCTGTTGTCTCTTTGATAAGAGATGAATGTATTTCTTCTTGTGACAGCTGTGTTTTCATCTTTTCAATAAAATGGAAAATGCAAGAATGTGGGCTTTTGTGTGATTGCCAGCTGTATTTGCTTCTGTTCTTATTTAAAACAATTTTTCACTTATCTGTATGCTTAATGTAACTTTTTCTTTTTTAAGACAAACATGGTCTCTTCTTAAAGACTGGACCATACATTCTGCACAAAACAGGCATTGATATTGTTCATAACGCTGTTAGTTTGTTATTTAAGCTTCTTTTTTTCTTTAAAAAAAAGTTATAAGCATATGCATGTTTGCTGAGATAAAAGGCCAGATCTTTTCATACTGTTTGGCTTAAATGTGAATTTCACTGATGTTGTGCTTTTAAGTGGGTTTGTTTTTCTTTTGGGGTTTTGTAGAAATATCCTGTTTTTGTTGATGTAATTTTGGCTTACTTTTTCAGTGAGCTCTAAAAATAAAGAAGGCAGGATTCATGAATTTCAGATGCTATAAGTTCATTGTCTTGTAAAACTGTCACTGAAATTTTATTTGCTGCTATATCAGACTAGTTATATAGTCCTGGGTTTATGCTGATTTAATTTCTACGTGCTGCTATTTTATAAATCACAATTATGCTTCTGGACTTCAAAAAAATGAAGATGGTAGTGCTTCTTATTTGATTTAGCATTCTGCCATGATATAAATGTAACACTGCCAATGCGTTCTGGTTTTTTTCCTAGGCCTGCATCTCGTCGTAAGCCTGAATATGAGCCGTCTTCAAGCACCGATGAGGCACAAAAAAAATTTGGCAATGTAAAAGCAATTTCATCAGACATGTATTTCGGAAGGCAAGATCATGCAGATGTAAGCTGGAAACAGTGATAAACCTTGCTGAATGTGAAAATATTGTTTGGCTGTAGAACAAGGTGTTGTTGTATATAAAGAGCAGGCAATAAATACTTAACATCTGTAAAATTGTTACTTTTGTAGAGTTATATTTGTTTGAAAATTTGTTTGATAGAAATAGACAAGTCTCCAGTAACTGATGGTTTAGTATTTCTTCTCAAGGAGCTGAAAATGCTAGGAGGAGCTTTGCCCCCAGTATCATTCTTTTCTGGTAGGGGTGATAGATAGTCATTCAGCAGTCTTTGATTTAGAAGGAATCAGCCTGATGCTGGATGAAGTCCAGCTTCTTTCATTGCAAAGAAAAATCTGATGCTAACGAATTGTTGATGAAAGGAGCAGTCTCCTTATAATTGTAAGGCTAGGTAAGCTTATAAATTGCTCAGCAAATAGCATATAATTGGATCAGCCTACAAATAATAATAAAACAAAAGCATTAATATTAGTTAGAATTTTGTAGACAAGAAATCACTTTTAAAAAAAAATTCTTTTAAAGAAAAAATAACAGTGTAAACAGTGATGTAAAATGATGTAATCATTTTATTACCATTCCCAAGGACTTAGAACTGGGAAAAGTTTAATTAAAATCATCATTCAGCAGGGATAAGGCTTCAGGAAGACCTCATTGTGACCTTTCTGTACACAGGAGGGTGACTCATGATCTCATAGTAATAGGACAAGGAGGAAGTGTTTTAAACTAAATGAAGGGAGGTATGAGGTGATAGGAGGAAAATTCTTCACTCAGAAAATGGTGAAGCATGGAACAGGCTGCCCAGATAAGCTGTGGATGACCCATCCCTGGAGCCACTCAAGGCCAGGTTGGATGGGGCCCTGGGCAGCCTGAGCTGCTGGGTGGCAGCCCTACTAGCAGCAGGGGGGGGTTGGTATTGGGTGGGCTTTAAGGTCATTTCCACCCAAACCATTGTATGATTCTATGATACAAACGTGCTGTGATGCCAAAATGATGCTAACTGGAGTGTTTTTCATACCTACCCACTATTTCATATTTTTTGTTGTGATTTTTAATGATTGAATAGCGCACTGTCCTCTGCCTGGTCAGCAACATAAACTTTTTTTAGGGGAGCTAATAGTGAACTGGCCTCTCAGTGTTGCAGAGGAAGATGTCAGTCTTTGATCTATTAAGAAAAGAGTTGAGGGGAGGACAAGCTCATGCTGTATAAGCTACATATAATATGACAGTAGCTTTCAGAATGGTCAACTTCAAATGGGTTTTTACTTTTTATAATCTCGTTATTTTACATCAGCTCTCAAAATGCCAGCACGCTGTTAAAATACTTTTTCTTCTCAATTCTTTTGTAGTATGAAGCTAGGGCTCGACTGGAAAGACTTTCTGGAAGCTCCTCTATAAGTTCAGCAGACTTGTTTGAAGATCAGAAAAAGCAGCCAGCAGGTACATACTTAACTGGGTGAGAAACTGTAGAGTGCTGTGGGATGCATTCCAGTACTCTGCTTCTAGTCATGGTGTTAGAAAGCTATTGCTGTATTCTGCAAAAAGTATGCAAAGTGCAGTATGCATTAATATTGCTAATACATCAAGCAAGCAAGACAGCTGTAGTCATTTTTACAGAATGTTCATTTATTAGATAAAAAGTTCCGTGTTTTCAGTTCAGTGACTTCAGTATTTTAGTATAATTTTTGTGACATATTGCTTTTTTTGTGTATGAAAACAAAGAAGACCTGAAACCGTATAGTAATATCTTAAAAACAAAGGAGATGACACCTAAATTCAGGTAATCGTTTGATGAGTTACCACATGCATGCCACACATTGTAATAATAGTATTGAATCTACTTTGAACACTGGTCTTGCCAAATTGTTAAGGAAATGTTGCAAGTTATTTGTTGAGAAGGTTTGTTGGAGTACATATCATCAGATTAGAAATTAAGTATTAGATAGACTGGAAAGTAGTGTTTAGGCTGTTGAAAATGTCTTTGTTTTTTAGCATGCTGCTAATAATTCAACAGCATAGTGTTGTTTCAAAATGGGCTGTATCCTTTCTCAGAATATGATGTTTGAGGATTCTGCTCACTTATACACTAGGTGTATACATGATAAAATTCTCATCGTACTCTACATAAGGATACTCATAAGCAGTTATACGAAGTTTATTATGTGTATAGGAACTGTGCACATGTTTATTCATTACTCACTACTGGGAAAATCTCTTAGGGTGTGTGGAGTACAGAGATTTCTAATAAAAGAATGCAAAATACTTTCCTGCATTTCATGGTTAGTTACTCACTGCGACTGGCATCCTTGCTATGTAATTCAACAGTGAATTTGAAGTTTCATTACAAAGTGGCTCAATTTCCTGTGTAGTTACTACACTTCTGAGCAGTAAAAGTGAAGAAATAATACACCAAGAATTGTTAGTTCGTGTATTTTAAATTCACATTATGTTCAGGCACTAGAATCTGTCTTTCCTGCTTGTTTTTCTGTTACAATCCCCTTCTCAAAGGTTTATTGTAGATGGTGACCATTTGAGATATTTTACTGCACTCATAGGTTGTCTGTTGTTGGATTAATGCCAAGGTCCTGATCAGTTCCGTAAAATAAATGTTATCAGAAGACCGGAGGTTGGCAACAAATGCACTTCTGTAATTCTGGGGTCCTTGCCAATAGAGAGTCTTGAAAAAGTTGTTTTCATGAACGCCGCTGAGATTTTATGTCACCAAGTTTCAGGATACCTGTCTTTACACAGAACATTGTTACCAAAAAGATAAGGCTGCAAAACAGAGTTTTTAGTTTGTATTCTTTTTAATACCTGTTACTTTTGAAAGATGGCATGTCAGGTCATTGACTTGGAAATGATGATTTAGAAAGAAGTTAGAAAACAAGGAGTTATCTACCTCTGTCATTCTGTGCAATTGTCTGGGAGTCTTGTAAACTAGAAAAGCAGGAGCAAAATCATTCGATTGAGAAGAGAGTAGAGCTTCATTCCCTTTGTTCATATATGTGATTTTTACTCCCATTGTTTTGGCTTTAATAGGAGAAAAAAAAAAAAAGCTGAAGCATCTGTTGAATGGAATGGATAAAGTTACAGTTCAGAAGTAGAGATATCTCAATGATAGTGAATTTTTGAATAGTGATTTTTTTTAAAAGGAGCAATAGGTGATGTGCCATACAAAGGTCTCAGGGGAAGGGAAGCTTGATGAATGTGAAAAGAGGAGCTGCAGGTTCACTCCAGGGGGGCGAAGAAAAAGCAGCCAGTATATAGAAATACTGTTGAAAGCCAGTGTGTGGAAATGTTGTTGAAAGGAGTTACAGTTCTGAAGGATGTGGTGTCTGCAGCTGGATGAACTTGTGTGCAGGTTGATAACTGCGCACAACTTAGCAGCTGAGGTACTGATTGGCTGCATGCCTGCGTTAGGGCGAGGGACCAGTCTTTATTTTGAAAATGTGCTTCCTCTCAGGAACCTTATTTATTCACGAGATCTCAGTTCTGCAAGAGCTCTTTCACTGATGTGTGTGTCCTTTACAGCACCAGAGGCTTGGAAGACTTCAAAATACTTTGCAGAATTTTGCATGACAGCAGTTCTTCTCACTGATGAGCATTTGACTAATTGTGTGTTAATACTTACCATGCCATTAGTTTTGAAACATCTTTGCTTTCTGCTGTCTTTAGACCAGTAGTTCTCATAACAGCAGTAGAGGTAACACCCTTTCTAAGAAAGGTTGGATTGCCAGCTTTGTTGGGGACTGTGAAAACCTGCTATGCAAATGACCATTGCTGTAATTCCAGAGAATGTTCAGTCTGTGGATGCAGTAATGCAGAACAGCGAGCAAAGCATGTCCATGCATGCACACAAATAAGGTTCCTTACTTCTCATTCATCTCCAAATTGCAACGTAAGCACAGCTGTCCAGGATACAAGACATACCACTACAGCAGGTTGGAAGCACAGGATAAATCATGTTTCATCCAAACATATACTGCTTAACTGGGAATGCAAAGTGTAGAAAATGACAGACTGGGTGGAAGTAGGAGCTAATGAAAAAATAAAAAGCAAGATGGATTTAAGAAATTTAAGATTTCGACCTACTGTTTTCTGTAGTGGTTATCAGATGTTCACCTTTAGTCCACTTAGTAGCATTTTGTACTTCTTACGGGAAAAAAGTCTGCTTTTTCTACAGAACTGTTTTATTTTTGTCTGTGTGTTTGCCCCTTCAGGAAGCTACAACATTACAAACGTCTTGCCTTCTGCTCCTGATATTGCCCAGTTTAAACAAGGAGTGAAATCAGTGGCTGGAAAGCTTTCTGTACTCGCTAATGGAGTCATGACATCTATACAGGTTAGCAAAAAATATCTTACACTTCAGTTAAAGTTGTCTTGTAGGCATCTAATGTCATAGATCCTGCTGTGAATTATTTTTGGGAAGAAAAGAATGGACTCAGTTTTGAACTTCATAGACCTGCCAGGATTGACAGTAGTTCTTTATAATCTTAGCTTACTGCATACCTTCTTTTTGTTTCTTTCCTTGCAGAGAGTGTTTTTTCTGAAAACCTAAACAAAAATTCCATTTGTTTGCTGTTGTCTTGCTGTTATAGTTCCTAACTCTGGTATTGCTTCTGGTTTGACAGTAGTACCTTAGATCTATGCACAAAATTAAGGCATCTTATCCTCCACCATGTAAAGCTTTCCTGCAGTTTGTGCTTCCTATATGAGGGCGATGGGAGCTATTTTATATTTGAAAATCAGGCTAATTATCTCTCAGTTTAGCTGCAAGCTCCAGTTCTTCAAAACAGTGCCCAATTTTCTTAAAGAAAGATTTTAAGAATTCAACTACAATTTATTTCACTGACGTAAGTGAAACTGATTTCTTTCAGTGGAAAACATGCTCATGCCTGGTTTTTTTGTTTGTTTGCTTTCTAGGATCGATATGGTTCTTAACAACTTGCATATCAATTAAGTACACTAAAGAAGAGTTTCTCTTCAGATGCACAAGTAATCACACTGCTGATTTGAATAAAGGTTGCCTTAAGACTGTTAATGTCTCTAATTGTTCCAGCCTATTTTTGTGCAGCTTTCTGGCGCAGCGTCTTTTTATTGCTATTTTGTCTTCACAGAGCAGAAATTATGTAGCAACTTGTTACATTGCATATGCTTTTATTTTCCTTTTCCTTGACGGTCTTGTATTTCTCTTAGTGACCTTGATGTTAGATGTTGGGAGCTTTGTATTATTACTGCTTTTGTCTGCGAGGCAAGAAAGGATGAGCACATACATTGGAAATGAGCTTTCCCAACAGAAACCTCTGTGCAGCTGTATCCTCAGTTGCCAGACATAACATATCTTCTGGCTGTCTTTACAAGCTGTGGAGAAGAAAGTAAGCTTATGCTGAGATTGTATTTAGTGGTCTGTAGCAAAACATAGAGTGAAGTTAAACCTGCGTTTATCAGGAAGTAGAAGCTCTTGCAGTAAATTGATGTGCATTGAAGTGATGGGGGATTAATGTTTTAAAATGACATTTGTGCAAGAAAATGTTATACTTAATGTGAGGTATAGGGGAGATGAGGCACCTGGTATTTTGAATAATAGATTTCATCCATTTAGGAGAACAAGCTATTTATTCCTGGTTTTGAAAGTCATAAAAAAATTGCAATATGGAATCCTTAAGTGCTTTAAAAACAATCTGTATTGTGTACAAATTGAAAAAACTTTAAGTATATAAGGAGCCTAATAGAGTAGTTAGTAAAATACTTGTTAAAATTTTCAGAACAATCGCAGTTTTTTTGATAAATAATGAAATTTTGGATGAGGAAATATAGTAGAACTGTGTTTTAGACAGTTTGGATTTTTTTGTTGATGACATCTTGTATAAAAATGATCAGAACTTAACGGAAAAACCTCACAACCAACAATGAGCTCAAGCTAATTCTGTTCTGTACCTTTGATTCTTAATTCAAATTTGTAAACTGCTGATATCTAATAAAAAAAGAAAATTGGTATAAACTGATTTTTTTTTTTTTTTAATTAAATTCATATATGCAGACACCAGTCTCCAGCTTTTGAATACTGCCATCTGTATTCCATATAATGATCTGGTAAAATTAACCTTCCATTTCAGTTAGTGAAACTAACTTTCTTATTAAATTGCTATAGCAATAGAAATCAAAGCAACAAGTGGGATGGAAAAGAAAGTTTCTGTATTCAAATGTGATGGAAGTACAGTTCAGATTATGTAGATGTATTTGTTTTTCTGTTTCTCAGTGCCTCTTGTATTTAACTCTCACTTCTTCTAACTTCTTCTCTCACAGCTGTTCAGATTTAAGCTAAAAATGATGATTCTTTTCTGAGAATAGAAGTATTTGTCCTGCTCAGTTGTAGAGCTTTTACACTTTGTTTTTTCCTTTCCCACTCTATAAGATGATTTTGCCTAATGTAAAGAGAAAATGTTTTATTACACATAAAAAATGTTGTTATTTTCAGATTAGCAGTCAACTGCACCCAGTGACTTGAAGAAGAGCTGCTCTTCTGAAAACTAATCTGCAGGTTTAGACATTTGTGTGTGGAGAGAGTTGCCTTACTTCAGGCAGTGAAGTATAATAAAATGTAGTTCTATCCTTGCCCCTACCTCCATCCTGTCCCATCCTCCCCTTCGGTTTCTCGTATTTTAAACATGTAAATGAGATCACCTACATGTTTGGGTTTTTGTAATCATTGTGATACAGCAAACCATTTACAGATGGAAAAATGTGGGAAAAAATGGTGTTTTCAGTACAAAATAACAAATTACTGGAGGAAACAATTGCGGAGTTACCTTATGTGCCATAAAGCAAGTGTAACTTTGTATAAACTTCTGTGTAATTGTATAAACTTCTCCCTTGTGCTGCAATCTGGGGAATGCAAAGCGTTGAACAATTCAGTATTTTCAGAAATACTGTCTAGTTTAACGTCATTTGGATTTATGCCTTCATTTATTGTTGCAGGTTCTCTATGGCAACCCATTACCACTAATTCCTTCTCTTGACGTAGTGACTGGATGTGTAGCTCTTAACCTCTAATGCACCTCTTTTTGTCATTAATAAACCACTGAGGTGTCCCTGTTTCATCAAGTGGAGGTGGGGAGGATTGCCATGTACACTGGAAGAGCCAACTTTAACTCCTCAAGTGGAATAGTATCATAGAATGGCTTGGCTTGAAAGGGGCAGTGAAGACTATCCAGTTCCAACTCCCTTCCATGGGCAGGGCTGCCCCCCACTAGTTCTGACTGCTCAGGGTTCCATCCAACCTGGCCTTGACTGCCTTCAGGGATGGAGCATCCGCAGTTTCTCTGGGCAGCTGTGCCAGTGCCTCACTGTCCTCTCAGTAAAGAATTTCCTTCAAATATCTAACATCTCTTTTTTATACTTTAAAAGCATTCTTCCTTATTCTATCGCTGTTAGACTGTGTAAAAAGTCAGTCTCTGTCTTGAATATAAGCTCCTTGTAAGTACTGAAAGGCAACAGTGAGGTTTCCCCAGTGCCTTCCCTGAGGTGAACAAGCCCAACTCCCTCAGCGTGTCTTCAGAGGAGAGGTGCTCCAGCCCTCTGATCATCTTTGTGGCTCTCCTCTGGACCTGCTCCAACAACTCCATATCTTACCTGTGCTGGAGACCTTAGACCTCCAGTACTCCAGATGAGCACTCTTGAGGGCAGAACAGAAAGGAACGATCGCCTCCCTCCCTCTGCTGGACACCCCTGTTTTGATAGAGCCCACGCTATGTTTGGCCTTGTGGACTGCTAGCACACGCTGCTGACTCATGTTAATCTTTTTGTGTACCAAGACCCTCAGTCCTTCTGTGCAGGGCTATTCTCAATGAGTTCTTTTTCCAGTCTGTACACATACCTGGGATCGCCATGACCCAAGTGCAAAACCTTGCACTCTGCCTTGTTGAATCTTATTAGGTTCATGTTGGCCCACTTTTCAATCCTGTCAAGGTGCCTTTTATGGCATCCCTCTCTTCTACTGGATTAAGTACTCCGTTCACCTTGGTGTCATCAGCAAACTTGCTGAGGATGCCCTCAGTCTCACTGTATCATTGATAAAGATGCTAAAGAGCACTGGTCCCAGAATGGACCCCTGGGGGACATCACTCATTACTAGCCTCCACTTGGACATAGAGTAAGTAACCACAGTGCTCTGGCTGTGACCATCCAACCAGTTCTTTATCCATCCAATAGTCCAGCCTTCAAATCCATATCTCTCCAAGTTAGAGATTAGGATGTGGTATGGAACCATGCCAAAGGCCTTGCACAAGTCTGGGTAGATAACATCAGTTTCTCTTCCTTTTTGTCCAATAAAGCTGATACTGTCACAGAAGGCCACCAGATTGGTCAGGTGTGATTGCTCTAGGTGAAGGCATGCTGGCTGTTTCAGATCACCTCATCTTGTATATGCAATAGTATAGCTTCCAGGAGGATCTGTTCTATGATCTTCCCAGGCACGGAGGTGAGGCTCAATGTGTAGTTCCTAAGGTCTTCCTTTCTGCCCTTCTTAAAAATGGGAGTGATGCTGTCAACAGGGACTTTGCCTGTCAGCCATGACTCTTCTAATATCATGGAGATTGGCTTGGCAACTACATCATGCAGTTCCTTCAGGACACTGGGATTCATATTATTGAGCCATAGAAGTTCTCTTTCAGTCTCATCAGGTGGTTTCAAACTTCTCTTACAGCAGGAGGAGTTTCACTCTCTCAGCATCTGCCTAGTGGTTCAGGGATGTGAGAGATGTGGGAAATGTGACTGCCAGTGAAGACTGAGGCAAAGAACTCACTGAGTACCTCAGCCTTCTGCTTGTCTGTTACTGCCAGTTCTCCCTTCTCATTTATCAGAGGAGTACGCTCTCCTCGGCCTATCTGTTCTGACCAATGTGTCCATAGAATCCCTTGATATCTTTCACATCCCTCACCAGATTCTCTTTCATCTGCACTTTGGCTTTCTTGATCTCATCTCTACACATCCAGACAGCATTACTATATTCTTCCCAGGGCTCGCAACCTTACTTCACTGCCTGTACCTGTCCCTCTTTTCCTTCGGTTTGACAAGCAGGTCCTTGTTCAGCCATGCCAGTCTCTCCCGGTATCTTATGCTGGACCAGGAAGTTGTCCTCAGTGCATTCCAGGAGTCTCCTGGTTTGCTTGCAGACTTCCAGTGTTGTTCCCCAGTAGATATCGGGTGGTTGAAATCCACCATCAGGATGAGAGCCTGCAGGCACGATGCTTCTTGTAGATGAAGCGAGAAAGCCTCATCAACAGTCTCCTCTTGGAAAGGCAGTCTGCAGCAGACCCCAACTACCACATTTTTCTCAGAGGCAGCACTTCTCATTCTATCCACTTCCTGACATAACAGGCAACTCCTCTGCCCCTGCTTCCCTGCCTGTCTCTTCTGACAAGCTTGTAGCCCACTATTGCAGTGTTCCACTTGTGCAATTCGTCCCACCACATTTCCATTACAGCAATTTCAATTATAGCAGTTTCCTGATTGCACCATGGCTTCCAACTCCTCTTGCATATTTCCTGTGCTGCATGCATTAGAGTGGAGGAACTTCATCTAGATTATTGGCTGTGTCACCTTGTTTGAGGAGCTTTGTGGGACTTTGGAATACCATGGTACATCTGATCCTACAGAATTTGATTGGACTGGATCAAGTATCTAAACAGAACTAAGTTTGTATTCTTGCTTTCTTTTTTTCTTTTTGTTCACTTTCAAACACATCTGTCAGCCTCTGATCATAGGGGATGCTGCTGCTACAAGCTTCACAGATTTTATAATAGGAAAACTAATGGGCCTGGTTTTCCTGCAAGCTAAATTTTGCATTCCCTTCCTTTAAGCCTTTCTTAATCCCAGTGCACTTCTTGCTTTTGCAAAGCTGGAGCTGAACAACAGCAATTCTGAACCATTAAAGTTTCTCTTCTCCTGAAGGTTTCTTCTTGAAAGTTCCTCCTTAAAGTTTCTCTTCTCTCAAAAGTTCTGTAGGAACTCTGCATATAATGAGAAGGGAGAAGGGATTATTTAATACTTTACATTGCTGAGTTTATATATTAAATTGCAAAGGTTGGAAAAATGTTTAAATATAATTGCAAAAACACCAGGACAAGCATAAACTTGATGCTTGGTACTGTTTGATACAGAGTGTGCTGTCCTTCCCTGAGTAAACAGTAAAGAGGGGGGAATCTTGGTACTATCTCTTTCTCTTGTTTCTCTTTGCAAAATGGGAAATCATAGAACCATAGAATTGTTTGAGTTGGAAGTACATTTAAAGATCATCTAGTCCAACTCCCCTGCAATGAACAGGGACATCTACAAGTCAATTTCAATTGCTGAAAGCCCCATCCAGCCTGACCTTGAACATCTTCAGGGATGGGGCATCCACCACTTCTTTGGGCAATGTGCTCCAGTGCCTCACCACCCACACTGAAAACTTCTTCATTATATCCAGTCTAAATCTCCCCTCTTTTAGTTTGAAACCATTTCCCTTGTCACTACAGACCCTGCTAAAGAGTCTGTCCCCTTCTTATAGCTCCCCTTTTGATGCTGAAAAGCTGCTTTCAGGTCTCTGCTGAGCCTTCTCTTCTGTAGAAGGCCACAGGTTAGTCAGGCAGAACTTGCTCTAAGTAAAGCCATGTTTGTTTTTCTGTGTCACCTTAATGCTGTCATTTTGGTCTGCCTGGCATCAGTTTGTTCCACTGCTGAGAGCAGCAATACTAGAACTATTTTGATGCCAATTTCAGCTTTTTGTTTTAGAAAGATTTTGTGGTGTAAGAATGGGCCAAGTGACTCCATAGCATAGGAGTTTGTAAACATTAGCTGCAAACAGTTTAACATCCTGTCTTGCTCTTGAGTCATGGTTAAGCTACTCTTGTGGATATAGGGTGAAGCTGTGGGCCATACAAAAGAGTGAATGTGCCTGATGTTGATTTTTGAGGGCTTCTACACAAATTAACTCGATTTGCATATATAGGTTATGCGTATGAGCCTGGATTCTCTTGAATGAGTAATAGCTAAACCAGCA